TGTATCAACAACATCCAGCACTACTGCTTATCCCTCGTGTAAGAGAGCACGAGTTCCTTTTACGATGTAACACAGCTTTTTGATCGCGTAACCTGTTCAGGTTTTCCTTCAGAACAGTATCATTGCTTCGTGGAGGAATCCTAGTCCTAGGTGAAAAGTTTCTCTCTTGTCTTCCTGGATTCTGTACCGGTTTATTTGTTTCTTGAATCATTTTGTCTCTTAATTCTGTTCGAATAATTCCCCCTTCCCTGGACCTGGGAATGGAATTAAAAAATAGCATGCGTAGCATACCTATATTATTCTTTAAGCTGGGTAGGTCGAGATGGGACACTTTGTGTTCCTAATCTTTTCATAACTTTCAAAAGAACAAAAATATCGAATTACTTCACTTTAAGAGAAATAGAAAAAGCCTAATTTATCTAAACTCACACAGGTATATCGTGCTCTATTGTCTAAATACTTCTGAGCAATAATAAAATGCATCGGTACCACCCTTACTGTAGTCTCCTTCGCAGCCGTTGTTTGGTTTCGTCACACATCGCCCTCTATTCCCCGTTGGAACGTTCGGCAGTTTGTTACGCGCGACCGTCGAACCTGATCGAAATTTGCGTTTTTAAAACAGTTTTAGTAAGATTCTAGGTTACTTCACTTTTTGTGTATTTGTAGTGAATTGGCACATAGAGCAAATTTACTTACAGAAATGACGTGTGAAAGACAAAGTTGAAAATTCTTAAAATATATCTGCCTTCACGGGCATGAAGCGCGAGACGCGGGCCCAGTTCGGAGGAGAAATATTATTTCGACTAGATTTATTTACCGAAAAATCGAGTACCTACATTGAAAAATTAAAATTCCGTCGAGGTGTTTCGCAATCATCCAGAAAGTGGTTTGTTTGCTGTTAAGGCAGGGTGGTTACATGGTTAGCATTCCTCACGTTCAACCACTTTATTACGTCACCTCCGCTATTTCTGCTCAAGCTGCCACATTTGACTACACAGACTTCTGCAAACGCCGTTTTCTCCTCTCCACAATAACTTATCCATTGCTGCGCAATGAATGAGTTAAAAAGAAAACGATGACCTTCGTAAAATAAAGGATATGGCCGAATTATCAGTCTAGATTTGTTAATAAAAGACAATGACCTTGAATATTTTCAACATGACTAAACAAAAGATTAATCAGATACTTTAGTCCAAAGAAACCAAAGTTAAAGGCGGCAAACGGTTGTCTGATTTATCATTCTCTACTATGTCAATAAAAGATGAAGAGAGCCACTGATAGTACTGATCGTCAATGTACTTGAAGATTTGTGGGTGTGGATGTGGGTGAGTGAGTGGGTTTTGTGCTGGTCATAAATTGACTTAACGAGGCTTCGTAAGGTTTTTGCTCAATGTTGGCGCGCCCGCCAGCGTTATATTTTTCTAAAACATTTTTATTTTTTCGCTTTTCAAGGTCACTAAAAGCCATCAAAGGCATTGAGCAAGGTTTGTGCTATCGTTTGCTGTAGTAAATATTATCAAAACGATTTTCGTTATCATGAAGCTTAAGCTCCACAAAGGGAGGCGCTCGCCAGCGATAATCTGGCTTTGCCTTTGATTTTCTTCAATTTGCTCCGATAAAATCTCTCAAAATTTTCAAAATTTGTAAAACTTGTCCTGTCGCTCATTAACAAGCCGAAAAAAAGGGGTTACAAAGGCAGTCTCCTCGCTATTTGTCGCTTTGTGTTTTCTTCCTCCATCTCAAATTTGGTCCCGTATGAATTACTTTTATCAACAGGCACAATGAAGGGCACAAATATGTTTAACGATCCTGCAAATCTTAGGAAATTCAACTGAAGGAAACGCAATAAATCAAACTCGACAAATCCCTATTTTATTTGTCGCAAAAGATTTCGTAATGGAATAAAACCTCGCCAAGATCGGTATCTGAGCATGCGTAGACTTTCGAATCTGTCGCCTTTTTGCAATCTTTCCCACGGTGTTTTCTTTTCGGTTGACCTCTTTTTGAGGCGTAGAAGGCCTATGAATATTACGAGTGTAGTTGCTGGAAATCCTACATTCCATCAAATAAAACTGTGTTTAACACACCTTTTCAAATAACAATCGTGCGATCGAATCGATCGAGCCACCACGTTTGTTTTGCACTGATACTTTTAAAGCTCGTGCTATATTTGCACCCAGATCTCGCACGTTCAAAAAACCCTATGGAACCTTCTTAAAGCAATAGCTCTCTAAATTTGTCGCTCAAATCATAATGTTCTTGTTTTTTGGCCTAGAGTCTTATTATCGGCTAAAGAAATGAGTCTGACTAATTAGCCCGACTTTGCAGCGAACTGCATTATCCCCAACGAAAGATTTAATTCTCAAAGGCGGGGGTTATTCCTTGAAAATAGCAGACACTGTCGAAACAAATGTAACGAGCAAACAACAGTAAGTGAAAGGTTCGGAACGCAAAGGCAAGCAGTATGAACGCAATGTTTCTGAACTTTAGAATTTTCATTGACCGCAAATGATCTTTAAGAGTTAACATAACAAAAGGGGAAATGATCACACAAGTAAAATAAAAGATATACAGACAAATGGTCTGCTGAGCTATCATTCTGGAATCTGTTAATAACAAATAAATAAAGCCACTGATTGACTATGACTTTGAGGATTTAACATAACAATAAAAGTCGGCAAACGGTTGGGTGATTTATCATTATAGAATCTGTTAAAAACAGATTAATAAAGCTACTCACGTTAATGAACTTGAAGAATTAACATCATGAAATAAAAGGCGGCAAACGGTTGGGTGATTTATCTGCAATTTAGAATCTGTTAGTAGTTAATAGCATTTATAGGTTCAGTGATTTTTATGGAAAACAGCCCTGGGAGGTCAAAAAGTTTTGGAGTCTTAAACAAAGACTAGCTAATTTCTTTTGGATATAGATTTTCTCTCTACCAGAATCCCAATAATGGAACGCAAGCGACAGAAGCTATTAGTCAAACGTTTTTGATTTGTATCGCACTATCAAATCTAAACACTGTAAAGGAATTAAAGCGACAAAATAACCCATAATAATCGTTCTCAGATTGAAACATATTTCTGATTGCATTTCAATTCAAGGCGATTATGTGATTGTTATCAACTGCCTTTAACAAGAATTTAAACAACATTTTTACAAGAGTGAGCAATACCAAACTTGTGGATTACGAACTCAGCAGGGCACAGATATGTTTAACGATCCAGCAAATCTTAGAAAATTCCACCGAAGGAATCGCGATAAATCTTACTCGAAAGATCCCTATTTTATTTGAGGCCAAAAATTTCGTCATGGAATCGAACTTCGTCAAGATCAGTATCTGAGCATGCATAGACTTTCGAATCTGTCGCCTTTTTGCAACCTTTCCCAGAGAAAACATTCTCTTAGATATCAAGGACCTCATATATGGTCAAAACTGGATAATAAATTGAAAGGCTCCTTGAATATTGAATCTTTTAAAAAGAAAATTAAGAAAAAAGACCTAGCGTCACTCTTAAACAACAACAATAGCTGCTGTAATCTGTGCAACTCTTAGAGACCACCTTTTATATAACTATTGTTCATTGCACAATTTATACATGTTATTCATATGAATTATATATACATCCTTCATAATTTCCTATTTGTAAATAATTCTATTTTATCTTATCTATTTATTTATCCAATTATTGATTTCTTTTCGTGTCCCCAATCAGTTGTGAAAACTAAATACATTGACACATTAATAAAGCTTTTACTTTACTTACTTACTTACTTACTTACTAGGGTGTTTTCTTTCCGGTTGACCTCTTTTTTAAGCATAGAAGGCCTATGAATATTACGGGTGTAGTCGCTGGAAACCCAAGATTCCATCACATAAAAAATGTACTTTGTTCAACTGTTTTTAACACACCTTTTAACAATCGTGCGATTGTATCGAGCCGCCATGTTTGTGTTGCATGTTGATACTTTTAAAGCTCGTACTATATTTGCACCCTGATCTCGCACGTTCAAAAAACCCTATGGAACCTTCTTAAAGCAATAGCTCTCTAAATTTGTCGCTCAAATCATAATGTTCTTGTTTTTTGGCCCAGAGTCTTATTAATGGCTAAAGAAGTGAGTCTAACTAATTAGCCCGACTTTGCAGCGAACTGCATTATCCCCAACGAAAGATTTAATTCTCAAAGGCGGGGGTTATTCCTTGAAAATAGCAGACACTGTCGAGACAAATGTAACGAGCAAACAGCATAAGTGTAAGGTTCAGAACGCAAAGGGAAGCGGTATGAAAGCAAGGTTACTTAAATTTTGAAATTTTATTGATCTTTAAGAGTTAACAGCGGTATGAAAGCGGTATGAAAGCAAGGTTACTTAAATTTTGAAATTTTATTGATCTTTAAGAGTTAACATAACAAGAGAGGAAATAATCACGCACGTGAAATAAAAGATATACAGACAAATGGACTATCGAGTTATCATTCTGGAATCTGCTAATAACAAATAAATAAAGCCACTGATCGACCATGACTTTAAGGATTTATCATAACAATAAAAGACGGCAAATGGTTGGGTGATTTATCATTCTAGAATCTGTTAAAAACAGATAGATAAAGCCACTGACGTTGATGAATTTGAAGATTTAACATCATGAAATAAAAGGCGGCAAACGGTTGGGTGATTTATCATTCTACAATCTGTTACAAACAGATAGATAAAGCCACTGATCGTCAATGACCTTGAAGATTTAACAGCATGGAATAAAAGGCGGCAGAAGCTTTGATCTAATGTTTTTGATTTGTATCGAACTATCAAAACGAAACATTGCATAGAAATTAAAGCTTTAAAATAATTCCTACCAATCGTTCTCAGATTGAAACATGTTTCTGATTGCATTTGAAATTTAAGGCGATTATTTACTATATAGTTCCTGACAAAATTTTGTGTCACAAAGAGCTTCATTGCAAAACGAGTCTGTTCAAAGCTGTTTCCAGTCGTTAGCATGCACTGACTTGACGGCATATTGAGTTACTCGCGCTCGTAATCACCAGTTTCTCGTTTCATTGAGAGGAGAAAAAGGTGAGGTGAATGCGGAAAACTTCCAGGTTTTTTTTTTCCAGGAGGAGAGAATGAAATATGTTTTGTGGGTGAATGGATGGTTTCGTGCTAGTTGTATTTTGACTTAGAGCTAAAGCTCTCCATATTTAGCGCTACAACAATGTTCTTTTTTGCCTGGGGCTTAATTCTATTCAAGACACAACTGGCAATGGCTATCGAGAGATTCTGACAACTTATGTAACTGTGTAGTAGGGGGTACTATTTAAAAATTATTAGTCAAAAAGTATACGCACATTGTTCTCCTTCGCTTTGGTCGACTCGCCAGCTAATTCAGATATAATATTTCACACTAGGCTGAGTTTCTAAGCTTTTGCGTCAACTGATGCCTTGGTGTGTGAAAAGAGATGCTTCCAAGTTTGGAAAGGGCGTTTTGTATAACTGGGAGCTTATCGAGCAAATATAATCATTACTTGGCCGAGTTCATACAGTTTGTGTCTAAGCCTTTCCAAAGGTGAGTTCAGTTAAAAAATTCCAATTTATTTATGGTTTTAATATGGGAGTGTCCCTTAGCCCCTCGTAAGTCGTCTGTGCGAGGAATATTTCCCAATACATATGCAAAATACTATTCCAGTACATACAGTCGCAAAATGGGAAAGCGTACTCCGACATCCGTCAGAATGAGGTCATCTCGGGTAGATTTCCGATTACGAAATCCGAGCTCGCTCGATGTTGTCTTCGTGATGAAGGCCCTATTTAGCATATTAGACCCGCAAAACAGAGTAGAAACGAACACGTGCTTCGTTTTCGCTCATGACTTCGTATTAGCGTCAAGATATTTGCATTTTTTTCCGTTGCTTACCTATATTACAGACTCTAAAAAATTGTTGCGATGCCTCCTTTTCACGGATGGCCAACTACAACATAGTGACACCTCCACGAAATCTGTCGAAAGGAGGATGTTAAAACACCAGAGGTCATCTCGGTTAGATTTATAATGACGAAATCCGAGCTCGCCCGATGTTGTCATGAAGGCCCTATTTCGCATTTTAGAGCCGCAAAATAGAGTAGAAAGGAACACTTACTTCGTTTTCGCTCATGACTTTGTATTAGCGTTAAGATATTTGCATTTTTTTTCCGTTGCTAACCTATATGACAGATTCAACAAAATACATTTGACGCTTCCTTTTCACGGATGGCCGATCACAACTACAAAGTAATGACATCTTCACGAAATCTGTCAAAAGTAGGATTTTAAAACACCGGAAACCTCTGGATTTCTGCTGAAATAAATTTAACGCAGTTACGTTCAGAGTTTAAGCGATATATTGTTATTTCTAATATGGTAATTGATAAAAAAATTTTACATTACCACGATTGGACGGAGATTAAGTTTGAATATAATGTAGCAGGCGATATTACTTTTGTCGACAAGGATAATCCGTGACTTGTCTCACCTATTACATTTTCTCTATCTGCGTTGTGCCATGATTATCATTGAAAATATTCTACGATAATATTTTTTACAATATTTAGATGAGGATTTTCAATTCTAAACGCAAGAGCGTACTTAGGGAAAGATCTACAAGAAACAGTTTCTCGTGAATAAAAAAATTGTTTTAGCTGACTTCTACATAGATAAAAATTACTACATAGATATATTTCACTTCGACGATTATCTTGATAATAAACAATTAACGGGAAGTTCCGAGAATAAGTTTTTTTTCAGTTTTGACAGATTTCGTGTAGGTGTTACTATGTTGTAGTTGTAATCGGCCATCCGTGAAAAGGAGGCATCGCAGAAATTTTGTGGAGTCTGTAATAAAGGTAAGCAACGAAAAAAAAAGAAGCAAATATCTTACGGCTATTACGAAGTCAATAGTTAAAGTTAAAAGAGGAAACTAGTAGCAAGTTCAGTTTCTGGTGTAAGGTTTCGTCTAGAAAGCTATTTTAATTTCGTGCAAAAATCCTTCTGAACAATCACAATTCCTTCCACAGTATCTCTCAGATATTCCCAACATCATGGCTTTTCTTGAGGTGAAGATTCTTTTGTCTTGTGTTATTCTGATATACACCAACGTGGAAGCGGGTCGATTGCGAAAGGTAAGACAAGTGCAAAAATTGTTCATAATTTTCTGTAGCTCAATGATAAAGCGTCAGATTGCGAAAACAGAAGGTTCATGATTCGATTCCCCGTTGGAGGTTAGATTTTTTTTCTTTGTCCCTCACTCGTAAGAAGTTAATACTCGTATATTTTTTCATTGACGATCCAGCTTTCATTTCATCACCCTTCTTTAATAACTTATGTCCTCCATTCCCTCAGCAAGAGGACGTTCACTCTTGATTTCAGGCATTTCTATCTGTTTCCACCATTCTATCACAGACAGTTTTTGCTATCTTTCATAATCAAGTTCAACAGTCTCGCATTTGTTTCAAAAATAAATGCTTGGTCTAAATCTTTTTCAAAAGAGAATTTGAAAACGGGAGTCATAAGACGTAGGAATCCTACAGTCTTTAGAAAATTGAGATGTAGTCAAGCACCCGCAAGTGTGGGTAAGAAAGTTTCATATTCTACAGTGTAAAACTGATACTCGTTTCTTTATCTTATTGTAGGACTATTATCAGCCTCTGGCTCACATCGAAGCCACCGAGAGAAGAGTAACTCACTACGGCGTTGGGCAAGGTCGGTTGGGCAAGGTTGTTTCAATCTTTTCTTGTTGCTTCAACGGCTTTCTCAGTTTTACTAATATTCAACTCGAAAATTTCCTTACAGCGATTACAGACTGGGATGCGGGAAATGTGCACAGCCATCTCGAGGACGGCATGACGTACAGTCATGGACGTCTGATTGTGCCTCGAGATGGAGAATATTATGTCTACGCACAACTGTACTTTCGCAGCAGCGGGAGAGTGCTGATTCTCAAGAATCACCACGAAGTTATCACCATGCTTCAACATTCCCACAACGTACCAGAAGGACCCCACTATGCAGGGGGAGCGTTTTATCTAGAGGCTGGTGACACCATAGAGTTACAAACCGCGACACCTGTCACACTTTACATGGCGACTGCTCACTCTTACTTTGGAGCGTTTCTGCTTAAGTGAGCTTCACCGCAAAAGCGCGTAAAAGCCTTGAAGGAAATTGTACCACGATAATAATAGAATGATATCAAAAAGGTTATGTTGTATTGTAATCTTTAACAAAGCAACAAATCCCCAAAGAAACAGCGGTCACAATATAAACAGGAACCACTGAATTTCCGACTGAAGCCCTGATACATCAACAACATCCAGCGGTACTGCTACTGCTTATCGCCCATGTGAAAAAGCACGAGTTCCTTGCATGATACAACACAGCTTTTTGATCGCGTAACCTATTCAAATTTTTCCTTCAAAAAAGTGCCATTGTTTCGTGGTAGAATCCTAGTCACCGGTAAACAGTCTCTCTTTGAAGAAAATCTCTTGTCTTCCTGTTTGTTTTTTTCTTGAATCATTTTGTCTATTAATTCTGTTGGAACAAAAACATCGCATAAGAGAAAGAGAAAAAGCCTAATTTATCTTAACTCACACAGGTATTTGGTGGTCTATTGTCTCTGTTGTCTAAGCAAAAACCGTATTACTTCTGAGCAAAAATAAAATGCATCGTTACCACGTTTACTGTAGTCTCCTTTGCAGCCGTTGTTTGGTCTCGTCACACAACGCCCTCTATTTCCTGTTGGAGAGAGAGCCATTGCGTGACGGGACCAGATAACTGTTGCGAAAGAGTCAAGTAAAGTGACTGCGTTTACAACAATTTTGATTTCCTCTGACATTGAGAAAATCAGAATTATTCGTCTATAGTTAGACGCCTCAAAAATACAATTCCATGTAATTTCACTACGAAAAGCAAAATGAAACTGTTGTATCTCCAATAGATTCTACCCAAAGATATATTGCGATCTCGAATAAGTAAAGATACGTTGAACAAGAGAAAGGATAAAATTTCGAAGAGGGCTAATTAATTGGTTGTTGCATTTCTGAACTTTTCTATCTGTGAGTGAAATACGTGATAAAATGCAGGTTGTTTACAAGGAATTAACACGCGATTGGGTGAGGTCCAACTAAAAGCGAATTTTATCCGTTGAAAAGTCAAAACGCAGGAGAAAATTCTCTATAAGTAGCATGAAGTTTCAAGAGGATATTTTTAGAGGGGTTGGATAATACGGTTAGAATACATGATAAAATGCAGGTTGTTTAAAAAGAAATGGCATCTGATGGAGCGAAGTTTTATGTGGCTAAATGGAATTTGATTGGTTGAATACAATTCAGGCAGGTAAAAAATTGCCTACTGTTCAAAAAAAGAAAAGTCAAAACGCGGGAGAATTGCGTGGAAAATTTGCTATCAGTAGCATTAAGTTCCAGGTGAGTCTTTTTTCAGTGGGGTTGGATAAAGCGGTTAGAATACGTGATAAAATTCAGGTTGTTTACAAGGAAATGGCATGTGATGAAGCGAAGTCTAATGTGGCTAAATGAAATTTGATTGGTAGAATACAATTCAGGCACGTAAAAAATTCCCTACTGTTCATGTACGTGATGGAATGTAAGTTGTTAGGTGTGTGTGTTGTGGGAAAGAGGCGGAAATCACGTTAAACTTTAAAATGATACAATAAAAGTAAACGCGAACTTTTCATATCCCCATAAATTTCGACCTCAATCGAGGAGGTTCTTGCGAAGGCCACAACCACAACATTTATCAAATGAGTCCAAAATTTCTGGTTAACGTCATCCTTTGTGCACGGCCCCCCTAATTCCATGACATCGATCACAAGAAAATAATACCCAAACGCTGTGAGGCCCCCTTATTCTATGACATCATTTATAAGAACATAGGCATGCTATGCATGGAAAAGTTATTTTTTTCGGGTGGGTGGATTAATTGAAACACTATAAGTAATGTCCACATTTTTACAAAAGTAAAGAAGAGTATTAACGCGGAAAAGAACGAAAATGTCAAATTAACTCACATACAGGTACTTTGTGGTAGATTGTTCGTGTTGTGGGAATAACTGTAACCAAAAATAAACTGTATTGGTGCCACGGATACCTGTTAGTACAAAATGCAGACTGCAGGCTGCAGACCAGATACAAAATGTAGAGTGCAGATTGCAGGGTGGGTACAAAATGCAGACTGAGAATTTAAAGCGTTTTTTCGTCTGGTATGTGACAACATGTCATCTTACAACTTACTGAGCGTCACGTAATCGCTTTTCCGTGATCAGCTTTCACGATTATTTGCACTATTGTGGAATATTCCTGGTTCGTTTTTTGATCAAAATCTTTCTTAATATAATTTCAAGCCTTCATACAGTCTTCTCACTTTGCGTGCGAGTTGGTTGGTGTGATGCCTGTACAGATTTTACCAACTTAATAAAAGTAGATGTAGATGGATGTAAATGAGATGTCACTATTGAATATTTAACACGCGCAATATTCGAGAAACATTGACAGCTTTCCACGTGGTCCGTAGTATCATCTTTTAAGCGGTATGTGTTTATTTTGTTGACAAAATGCGGACCGAGACCAAAACTCTTCCTTCGACTTGATATATTTTCAGCATTAGTAGATCACATCATGTTAACTTACCTCCGTAAATCATTCATTCCAAACAACAGAATCAAATAAACATGCTTACGATGGCATCTGAATTCGTCCTTGGCCAAACATAAACGACACCACAAGATCACCTTCTACAGGCATTGAAAACATTTCCATAGGTCAAGTATTCTCAAAATTACCCTCGAAACAGCCCAAAAAATTTCCCTCAACAGCCAATAATGACGCAAAATCCACCTTGCAACACACTTGCAATTGTCCAAACTTCTGAAATTGACTGCAACCAAATCACCAAGGAGAAAAGTCAGCCATCTTTCGTAGAAAAATCAATGTTCAATAAAAACACCTCTTAACATTGCATATCAATCAAACACGATCTCACACGAGGCGACAAAAAAAATAACTCAAAAACAATACCCAAACGCTGTGATTGGTGCATGACATCGGAATGCTGTGATATCATTGTTGCGAGATACATATCCTAATGCGGAAATCTGATTGGTGCGAGATACATACCCTAATGCGGATATCTGATTGGTGCGAGATACATACCCTAATGCGGAAATCTGATTGGTGTGAGATACAAACCCTAATGCGGCGATCTGATTGGCGCGAGTAACACACCACTCTACACGCTAACAAAGAGAGATTTTTTTTTATAAAAAAAATACATAAAAAACTGAACCATGTGAATGTGATTGTGATCAACTGCCTTAAACAAGAATAAAAACAACAATTTAAGAATGAGAAACACCAGACTTGTCGACTACGAACTCAGCAGACATATTAAAAAAGGAACCTATGTTATTAGCACCTCTTACTCTTTTAGGGAAGAAGCGCAGAGTTAGAATTTGTGATAGACCCTAAAAATGACAGGAAGAACAACTTTCGTAAGATGACCTATAGAAAACGAAATTTGTCATCCAAGAACACAACAAAGAATATCCTCTTTTGCCTTTCATCCTCCACCCCACCCCCCCCCCACATCACCCTCCCCCATACCATGTACTAAAAAAACACTACAATCTTCATTTCTTGATCATGAATGTTTTTTGCTGCTTTGAAAGCAAAAGAAGATTTAAAACCCACAGGGGCTTTCAAATTTAAAAGAAATTCGCTAGTGCCAAGACAATCGTTTTAAATGTGGTGGATATCACATAATACTACTACGGTCACTGAAGCAATAGGGAAATTTCGCAATCTCACACAACCACATACACAGTAGTAAGTCAAATTATAATAGCCCAAAGCGCCAGAGCCAATCGAAAAGTACAAGAATTGAGTCATTTTCTAAATTTCAAGTGAAAGAAAAAACGCAAATTTTGTCTAGGATTTTACCGTTTACTGAGCTTATCAACCTGTCGATGCTTAGATTGTGTCAATGACCCTCAAAGACGATTTGTTCCATAAATCCTTTAACTGACTTTAACTGAAGATTAGCTAGGTAGTTTTCGGAGATTTGAAAGAACAGGTCTTATGTAAGAATTACAACACAACGTAACTAAAAATAATTGGACCCCTTTTAATATGACTGTATCCTTTATTGAAATCGTGGTGCAATTTCTCTCTAGACTTTTACATGTTAGCGTGAAGGTCAAATCAAAAACGCCCCAAAATAAGTGTGAGCAGAAGACATGTAAATCACGACGTTGTGATTCGAATGTAGCGATATGACGTCACCTCTTCTTAAGAGAAACACTCCCCCTGTATAAAGGGGTAAGTAACCTGTGCCTTCAGCTGGTTGAAGCATAGTGACCCTTTGGTTATTCTTACGAATCTCCACCCTCCCCTTGGTGTGAAAGTATAGTTGTGCGTAGATATAATACGGTCCAGCGGTAGGCACAGTCAGTTGTCCATTACTGTATCTCATGCCACCCGATTGCTGGCTGAAAGCATTTGCCAAAGTCCAGTCTTTCATCACTGTAAGGCAATTTTCGAGGCGAAAATTAGTAAGATTGAGAAAGTTGTTAAAGCAATAAGAAACGAATAGAACAACCTTGGTTGGACGAAACACCAAACTACTACACTACACTACTACTGAGACCCTTCGGATCGGATCTAAACCTAAACTTATCTCGAAATCCTTCAGAACCGCTACGGAACTCGAGAGCCAAGAAACACTCATGCTACCACATTATGTAACACTTTACAATAACTACTAATTGCGGACGAAGATATTTCGGCAAAGAATGTCACTAGGTCGCATATGTTAGGCGACAACGACAAAAGTTATTACGCAAGTGTCTTTGTTCCTTTTATTTTTTGCAAGTTCTTGAACACTTTCCGCACAGTCCTTTTTTGTTAGCAAAGTCTCTTCAACAAACCTTGTCCAGCCTGATAGGAAACTTTTCCTTTATTGATGGCCTCGATATGAGCGTAAACCTTCGACTGGAGATACAATAACGTAGAATTAGTGGGCATCCGTTTTATACTGTAAATTATGAAATTCTCTCACCTGCTTTCGAGAGAACATGACTAAATCTTAATTTTTCTCTTTTCTAAAGTCTTTTTTTCGATGAAGATTTTCTTAGAATGTCAACGAGTTAAGAATCCACATTTGACCTTCTCTGTTGGAAAAGATCTAGACTAATCATTTAATTTTTCAAACATAAAACTATAGACTTGATTCTGAATTCCAGACAGCAAAAGCCGTGTGAGATACAATGGTTGAAACAGATGGCAATGCCTAAAATTAACAGTTAGCGTCCTCTTACTGAAGGGAATTAAACGACACAAGTGAGTAAAGAAAGTGGGTGTAAGTTCAAGCTGTGTCGACAAATATAGAAGGATATCCGTGTTTTTTTTTCTCAAAGGAGTTGGATAAACAAAAAAATCTTAAACTTCCAGTAAGGAGCCGAACCCCAGACACTCTGTTTTCGCAACTCGTCACTTTACGCTTGTGGTCTGGAGTTACAGAATATTATGAATAGTTTTTCCTCTTGTCTTACCTGTGGAAATGTAGCCGTTATCACGTTGGCGCATATCAGAATAACACAGGAAAAAAAGATCTTCATCTCAGTTGAAGCCATGATTTTGGAAATATCTTAGGAGTACTGTAAGAGAAACTGTGATCGTAAAAGAAGATTTTTCACGTTATTAACTCTACCTATCTAATGCTCCAGCTACCAACTGTTACTGGTAAAAGGACCTAATGGGCGTTCCACAGATAAAGCACGAACAATTTATCTCAAATGGTTCTTACCTGTTTGTCTCTTGAATGTGCGGCCCAAATTGAAATGGGGACACGTATATAAGACCAAGCAGTGAGTGTACTGTTTATCAATTTTCATAATTATTGTTTGCAGAGCTCTTGTCTCTCTAATTACTAAATATCTATTGGATGGGTAAAAATTAATCTTCTCTTTTGTAAAACTAATAAGTGCCAAAATGACAAAATAAATTCCATATTGTCTCTCTAATTACTAAATATCTATTGAATTGGTAAAAATTAATCTTCTCTTTTGTAGAAACTAATAAGTGCCAAAATGACAAAATATATTCCATATTTCATTCCGACCTACAACGAAAAGTTTTCTTTAAAATAAAAATGACAAAAAAAACCGGTCCACTGCCATAACAGCCAATGTTTAATTGTCTTCAGTTATAAAATAACAGAAATACTGTGAGCGCGCTACTTTGTCAAAAACCTATCGTTTAGTGGAATGGTATATACCAAGAAATTAAAAGGTTTTTTTCTATCGGTTAACCAGTGTAATAACCTACTTTGGATGTTGGGAAAATACTCGAAAGTTGCTAAATCATGCAATCGCCTGTGGCTCGTGATTCACACACTGTTTTCGTGTTATTCCAACATCCCGTGTGGGTTATTACGCCGGTAAACCGATAGAAAGTGTGCTCTGTAACTTGAATAATCTTCGTATTTGTAAAAACTTATCAGTTGCAGAGAAATAACAAAATAAATTCCACATCTCATCATTGGTTTTCTTTTATATGAAAAGGTAGAAAAGTTCAGCGACATAACATTAATTTACGTATTAAATTGGCTTGCATGCCTATCGTGATGACGGCCATTGTTTCATCTGCTGTGTTAGAATGTTCAAAGCAAAACCAACTGTCATGGACTGTTCTTTTACCCGAAACCGCCATTTAGGTTGAACCATCAGAGCTTTTGTAGGTATTATGTATCGATTTCAATATTTGCAACGACAAAAGAAATATTTAAATTTCTCTAGTTTCCTCTTCCTGTTTATTTAAAGAAATTTTTGAGCCATTCAACCATTTTTAATTACTTTAGTGTCGTTTAAAATAAATGACAAAAGTACTTGCTTGTTTAAATATCTTAATTGCTTTTATATTCTGAGTTTGTTTCTCTCTAATTAAAAAAAAAGGCAAAAGTTGCACACGATCACAAACTTACTGATATCATTTGACATGATGGGATAGATGTGAAATATTTGCCGCTGTGCCTCTGTCACAACACTACTCCTTAAATCTAACAGCAGGCTAACTTTTTCATTCCTTTTTCATTGCTGACAAAGGTAAGAATTTTATCCTCAGGCACGAGTGACCACAGCAAACGAATAAGGGATATCTATAGAACGAGAAGAAAAAATGAAATAATTAAAGCACCAAAGACACCACGTGTAAGCACGTTTCAAGAGAAATAAGTGCAGTTTTCCCTCTCTTTTAAGGTGTAGAAGGGAAAATTTGTTTCAACCAAGAAAGGAAAAAAGAAAAAGATTCTCCTCATCATCATCATCAGGTCTCTAAAACATTCAACTTCAGCAAGATGGGTGAAGTGAAAAGATGATGGCTTGACGTCTTTAAATGTGAAAGATATCGCGATGGATAATGACTTCAATTCGCGTGATGCATTTAGGGACAACAGAATCCCTATTACTTTATTTCAGTGTTACCAAAATGAGTGCAAAAAGCATCATTTTCTGGAGGTATCTGAAATTTAAGATCATGGGTGTTTTGCAAGCCTTTGGCCAACGGCCCATGTTTTCTTCCTTTCACTGATAAACAAACGTAATGAATTTGAATAAGAGAACATTAACAGCTCGCATTCTCTGGATTTTAATTGTTATCACGCAAGCACTGTAGGAAGAACAACTTTCGAAAGATGACCTATAGAAAACGAAATTTGTCATCCAAGAACACAACAAAGAATATCTTCTTTTGCCTTTCATCCTCCACCCCCCCCCCCCCACCATCCCTCTCCCCCATACCATGTACTAAAAAAAACTACAATCTTCATTTCTTGATCATGATTGTTTTTTGCTGCTTTGAAAGCAAAAGAAGATTTAAAACCCAAAGGGGTTTTCAAAATTAAAAGAAATTCGCTAGTGCCAAGACAATCGTTTTAAACGTGATGGATATCACATAATACTACTACGGTCACTGAAGCAATAGGGAAATTTCGCAATCTCACACAACCACATACACAGTAGTAAGTCAAATTATAATAGCCCAAAGCGCCAGAGCCAATCGAAAAGTACAAGAATTGAGTCATTTTCTAAATTTCAAGTGAAAGACAAAACGCAAATTTTGTCTAGGATTTTACCGTTTACTGAGCTTATCAACCTGTCGATGCTTAGATTGTGTCAATGACCCTCAAAGACGATTTGTTCCATAAATCCTTTAACTGACTTTAACTGAAGATTAGCTAGGTAGTTTTCGGAGATTTGAAAGAACAGGTCTTATGTAAGAATTACAACACAACGTAACTAAAAACAATCAGACCCCTTTTTAATATGACTGTATCCTTTATTGAAATCATGGTGCAATTTCTCCCTAGACTTTTACATGTTAGCGTGAAGGTCAAATCAAAAACGCCCCAAAATAAGTGTGAGCAGAATACATGTAAATCACGACGTTGTCATTCGAATGTAGCGATATGACGTCACCTCTTCTTAAGAGAAACACTCCCCCTGTATAAAGGGGTAAGTAACCTGTGCCTTCAGCTGGTTGAAGCATAGTGACCCTTTGGTTATTCTTACGAATCTCCACCCTCCCCTTGGTGTGAAAGTATAGTTGTGCGTAGATATAATACGGTCCGGTGGTAGGAACACACAGTTGTCCATTACTGTATCTCATGCCACCCGATTGCTGGCTGAAAGCACATTTCCAGTCTTTCATCACTGTAAGGCAATTTTCGAGGCGAAAATTAGTAAGATTGAGAAAGTTGTTAAAGCAATAAGAAACGAATAGAACAACCTTGGTTGGACGAAACACCAAACTACTACACTACACTACTACTGAGACCCTTCGGATCGGATCTAAACCTAAACTTATCTCGAAATCCTTCAGAACCGCTACGGAACTCGAGAGCCAAGAAACACTCATGCTACCACATTATGTAACACTTTACAATAACTACTAATTGCGAACGAAGATATTTCGGCGAAAAATGTCACTAGGTCGCATATGTTAGGCGACAACGACAAAAGTTATTACGCAAGTGTCTTTGTTCCTTTTATTTTTTGCAAGTTCTTGAACACTTTCCGCACAGTCCTTTTTTGTTAGCAAAGTCTCTTCAACAAACCTTGTCCAGCCTGATAGGAAACTTTTCCTTTATTGATGGCCTCGATATGAGCGTAAACCTTCGACTGGAGATACAATAACGTAGAATTAGTGGGCATCCGTTTTATACTGTAAATTATGAAATTTTCTCACCTGCTTTCGAGAGAACATGACTAAATCTTAATTTTTCTCTTTTCTAAAGTCTTTTTTTCGATGAAGATTTTCTAAGAATGTCAACGAGTTAAGAATCCACATTTGACCTTCTCTGTTGGAAAAGATCTAGACTAATCATTTAATTTTTCAAACATAAAACTATAGACTTGATTCTGAATTCCAGACAGCAAAAGCCGTGTGAGATACAATGGTTGAAACAGATGGCAATGCCTAAAATTAACAGTTAGCGTCCTCTTACTGAAGGGAATTAAACGACACAAGTGAGTAAAGAAAGTGGGTGTAAGTTCAAGCTGTGTCGACAAATGTAGAAGGATATCCGTGTTTTTTTCTCAAAGGAGTTGGATAAAGAAAAATCTTAAGCTTCCAGTAAGGAGCCGAATCCCAGACACTCTGTTTTCACAACCCGTCACTTTACGCTTGTGGCCTGGAGTTACAGAATATTATGAATAGTTTTTCCAGTTGTCTTACCTGTGGAAATGTAGCCGTTATCACGTTGGCGCATATCAGAATAACACAGGAAAAAAAGATCTTCATCTCAGTTGAAGCCATGATCTTGGAAATATCTGAGGAGTACTGTAAGAGAAACTGTGATCGTAAAAGAAGATTTTTCACGTTATTAACTCTACCTATCTAATGCTCCAGCTCTCAACTGTTACTGGTAAAAGGACCTTATGGGCATTCCACAGATAAAGCACGAACAATTTATCTCAAATGGTTCTTACTTGTTTGTCTCTTGAATGTGCGGCACAAATTGAAATGGGGACACGTATATAAGACCAAGCAGTGAGTGTACTGTTTATCAATTTTCATAATTATTGCTTGCAGAGCTCTTGTCTCTCTAATTACTAAATATCTATTGGATAGGTAAAAATTAATCTTCTCTTTTGTAAAACTAATAAGTGCCAAAATGACAAAATAAATTCCATATTTCTCTCTAATTACTAAATATCTATTGGATTGGTAAAAATTAATCTTCTCTTTTGTAGAAACTAATAAGTGCCAAAATGACAAAATAAATTCCATATTTCATTCCGACCTACAACGAAAAGTTTTCTTTAAAATAAAAATGACAAAAAAAAAACCGGTCCATTGCCATTGGTTTTCTTTTATATGAAAAGGTAGAAAAGTTCAGCGACATAACATTAATTTACGCATTGAATGGGCCCATCGTAATGACGGCCATTATTTCGTCTGCTATGTTAGAATGTTTAAAGCTAAACCAGCCATCATAGACTGTTCTTTTACCCGAAACCGCCATTCGGGTTGAATCATTAGAATTTTTGTAGATATTATGTATCGATTTTAATATTTGCAACGACAAAAGAAATACTTTCCTTTTCCTGTTTACCTAAAAAAATTCTTAAGCCATTCAATCATTTTGATTTATTTTGTGTCGTTTAAAGTAATTGTCAAAAGTACTTGTTTGTTCAATATCCTAATTGCTTTTCAATTCATCCAAATTTGTCTTTGATAGAATCTTATAACAGCAGACACATTGCTTGCTTTCCCAGTTCGGGTCTTACATTTACAAGAGACAACTAGTCACGGTAAGCTCAGTTTCTGGTGTAGTGTTTCGTGTAGAAAGCCATTTTGATTTCGTGCATAAAATCCTTCTGAACAATAACAATTCCTTCCACAGTATCTCTCAGATATTCCCAACACCATGGCTTTTCTTGGGATGAAAATCTTTTTGTCCTGTGTTTTTCTGATATACGTTAACGTGGAAGCGGCTCCATCGCCACGGGTAAGACAAGTGCAAAAACTGTTCATAATTTTCTGAAGCTCAATGGTAAAGCGTCAGATTGCGAAAACAGAACGTTTAGGGTTCGATTTCTCTTTGGAGGTTAGATATTTTTTTGTCCCTCACACGTGAGAATTAAATACTGATATATTTTTTTATTGACGATCCAGCTTTCATTTCATTACCTTTCTTTAACAACTTATGTCCTTCATTCCCTCAGCAAGAGGACGTTCACTCTTGATTTCAGGCCAATTGCTATCTGTTTCAACCATTCTATCACAGACGGTTTTCGCTATCTGTCATAATCAAGTTCTACAGCTTTGCACTTGTTTCAAAAATAAATCACCAGTTAAATCTTTTTCAAAAGAGAATTTGAAAACTGGAGTCATAAGTCGTAGACATCCTATAAAAATGTTTAACTCTAGTCTTTAGAAAATTGAGATGTAGTCAATTACCTGCAAATGTGGATAAGAAAGTTTCATATTCTACAGTGTAAAACTGATACTCGTTTCTTTATCTTATTGTAGGACTATTATCAGCCTCTGGCTCACATCGAAGCCACCGACAGAAGAGTAACTAACTACGGCGATAGGCAAGGTCGGTTGGGCAAGGTTGTTTCAATCTTTTCTTGTTGTTTCAACGGCTTTCTCAGTTTTACTAATAGTCAACTTGAAAATTTCCTTACAGTGATTAAAGACTGGGATGTGGGAAATGTGCACAGCCGTCTCTGGGGCGACATGAAATACAGAAATGGATGTCTGATTGTACCTAAAGATGGAGCGTACTATGTCTACGCGCAACTGTACTTTCACCGCTACGGGAGAGTGGTGATTCGCAAGAATCACCACGAACTTATCACCATGCTTCAACATTCCCACAACGTACCAGAAGGACCCCACTATGCAGGGGGAGCGTTTTATCTAGAGGCTGGTGACACCATAGAGTTACAAACCGCGACATCTGTCACACTTTACATGTCGACTGCTCGCTCTTACTTTGGAGCGTTCCTGATTCCGTGAGCTTCACACAAGCGCGCAACAGCCTTGAAGAAGATTGTACCACGATATCAATAAAGAATAGAATGATATCAAAAAGGCTATGCTGTATTGTAATCTTTAACAAAACAACCAATCCACAAAGAAACAGCGGTCACAGTATAAATGGGAACCACTAAATTTCCGACTGAAGCCCCAAATGAATATGGCCTTTAAGGTCACGATTTATCAACAACATCCAGCGGTATCGCTTATCCTTCATGTATAAAAGCACGAGTTCCTTTCATGATGTAACACAGCTTTCTGATCGCGTAACATGTTCAGGTTTTTCCTCCAGAACAGTGTCATTGTTTCGTGGTAAAGAGTTTCTCTCTGAAGAAAACTACTTTTCTTCCTGGATTCTGTACCAGTTCGTTTGTTTCTTGAATCATTTTGTCTCTAAATTCTGTGCGAACAATTTTGCCTTCCCTGGATCTGGGAATGGAATTAAAACAGGCATGCGTACCATGCAAGAGTTATTTTTTTAGCTGGATAGGTCGAGATGTTTTCATAACTTTCAAAAGAACGAAAATATCGCATTACTTCACTTTAAGAGAAAGAGAAAAAGCTCAATTAATCTAAACTCACACATATCCCGAATAATCTCGACTTCATTCGACGAGGGCTCTTGCGAAGGCCACAATTACACGCGAGATACCGCGATATCCTAATGCGGAAATCTGATTGGTGCAAGCAACATACCACTCTACACGCCAACATAGAGTTGATATATATTGTATGTATGTATGTATGTATGTATGTATATAAACAACTGAAAAACACTGAGCCATATGATTGTGATCAACTGCCTTAGACAAGAATAAAAACAACGCTTTGTTTTTAAAAAGAAATTCCAAACTTGTCGACTACGAACTTAGCAGACATATTAAGAGAGGAACCTATGTTACTAGCACCTCTTACTCTATTAGGGAAGAAGCGCAGGGTTAGAATTTGTGATAGACAGTAAAAATGACAGGAAAAACAACTTTCGCAAGATGACTTATAAAAAACAGAATTTGTCATCCAAAAACACAACAAAGAATATCCTCTTTTGCCTTCCCTTCACCCTCCCCCCCCCCCCCCCGAGCTCTTGTCTCTTTAAGTACTAAATATCCATTGGATAGGTAAAAATTAATTTGCTCATTTGTAATAAGTCCCACAGAAAATGATGAAATAAATTCCATATTTCATTCCGACCTACAATGAAAAGTTGTCTTTTAAATGAAAATGACAGAATCTCCAATAACATGACACTCATTTAAGATTAAACTTACCGCCCACTGCCATAACAGCAATTATTTAATTTTCTTCAGTTATAAAAAAACAGAAATACTATGAGCGCGCCACTTTGTCAAAAACCTATCGTTTAGTAGAATGGTACTTGTACCAAGAAATTAAAAGTTTATTTTATAAAAGCAATAGACCGCACTTTCTATCGGTTTACCAGCGCAATAGTCTACTTTGGACGTAGGGAGAATACTCGAAAAGTTTGTAAATCATGCAATCGCCTTCGGCTCGTGACTCACACATTGTTTTCGTGTTTTCCCAACATCCCGTGTGGGTTATTACGCCGGTAAACCGATAGGAAGTGTGGTATATTGCTTAAACAATCTTCGTATTTGTAAAAACGTATTGGTTGCAGAGAAATAACAAAATAAATTCCATATCTCATCAATGGTTTTCTTTTATATGAAAAGACAGAAAAGTTCAGCGACAAAACATTAATTTACGTATTAAACTGGCTTGCATGCCTATCGAGATGACAGCCATTGTTTCATCTGCTGTGTTAGAATGTTCAAAGCAAAACCAACTGTCATGGACTGTTCTTTTACCCGAAACCGCCATTTAGGTTGAACCATCAGAGCTTTTGTAGATATTATGTATCGGTTTCAATATTTGCAACGACAAAAGAAATACTTAAATTTCTCTAGTTTCCTCTTCCTGTTTATTTAAAGAAATTTTTAAGCCATTCAACCATTTTTAATTACTTTAAGGCCGATTTACACGGAAGAAAATTTTTGGTACGGCTCGGGTAAAAACGGTTCGCGTACCAAAAAAAAAAGTAGCACTGGTGCTTGTTTACACGTCCTTTTTTCTGCCGTGCTAAGCGGTTGGAATTAACGTCTTGGTTCGAGTAAAAGGCTCAACATCTTGGCCAGCGTTCGCAATTCTCGCTTCGTACGCATGCGGCTTGCTAAGTAAGAACATCATGGCGGACGAAAAGTATCTTGAGTTTCTCCTGCTAAAAAGATCTAGCGTCTTTTCGAAAGGAATTACGAAGTCAAGCTTTTCGTCTTTATCTTTCCAGAAGAACAGAAAAAGAAGAAGAATATACAAATTGTTGATAATTGCATCCGCGCTAGCTTGTAATACTATAGAGCGAAGATTCTGGACATTGGCACGCACAGATCAATGGTTTCAGATCGTGGAAACCGCATTCACCGACAAGGAGTGGTACGATAACTTTCGTGTTTCCAAAACAACATTTGAATACATTGTTTCACAGATTGAAGACGAAATTGGTCGTCAGGATACTTCAATGCGTAAAGCCATCTCCCTAAGGAAGAGAACAGCCATAACACTTTATTACATGAGCTCCACAGCGGAATACCGGACAATAGCAAACTTATTTGGGGTATCAAAGTCGTTTGTTAGTCTTTGCATAAAAGATGTTTGCAAAGCAATAACAAAAAAGCTGAAAAAAGATTTCTTGTCAATACCAAAGGAAGAAGATTTGAGTGAAGTCATGAAGCTCTACAAGGAGAAATGGGGATTTCCCTCATGTGCAGGTGCTATAGATGGCACCCACATTCCAATACAAGCTCCTCTGGAAAATCGTACTGATTATATAAATAGGAAATCTTATCACAGTATAGTGCTGCAGGCAATGGTGGACTCAAAGTACTTATTTCGAGATGTGGTCATTGGTTGGCCAGGCAGCGTCCATGACGCAAGAGTGCTTTCTAATTCAGAAATTTATAATCGTGGATGTAACGGAGATCTTTTTGATCCCAATATCAAAGAAACAATACTCGATATTGATATTGCTCCTGTTATTCTTGGCGACCCTGCTTACCCTCTCTTGGACTGGCTAATAAAAGCTTACCCAGAAAATCAAAACACACCCAACTGGCAGAGGCACTTTAATTATAGGCTTAGCAGAGCACTTATGACTGTAGAGGACACATTTGGTAGATGGAAAGGACGTTTTCGACGAGTTCTTAAGTGTGTTGATATGGCTGTTGACTCCACGTGTTACCTTGTGGTTGCTTCATGCATCCTTCATAACATCTGTGAATTAAAGAGGGATGCCTTTTTAGAAGAATGGCTCGAGGATATACAGAATACTGTTGAACAGCCCGACATCATCCCATTGGCAATTATCGAAAGACAGACTGAAACAGATGCCACCAACATTCGAGATGCCCTTGCACTATTCTTTAGGACACCAGAGGGCTGACATATTGGAAGGGGTGGTGAATAATTTCACAGTCACAAAACACTTTCACATTCATTACAGTTAGACAGTTGCTGCCATGGATCCTGAGTTTATCATATGAATTGTTGTATCAATGACATCTTGCACTTTTTTGTGGGAGGTTTTGTTTAATTTTGCAATCAAAAAGTTGTATCTCTGCTTGTGCGAGGTTTTAACATCAATTGAAAAAAAAAGTAATTAGTCTGTTGAGTTTCTCATGTAAATTATAAATAAACCAATGATGATCACAATAAAAACAGTTCAAACAGCAACTTTATTTGAAAGTGGTTTTCAGAGAAATATTAACAATGATAGTAACAAATTTGTTCCACAAGTGGTTCTTAAATTAACAATATAATAAATTTGTAACAGAAACTTGTTAGTCCTGATGAACATAACTTTTAACTTCTATTCCAGCTTCATATCAGTAAGATGTCAGCTTAAACAACGCCAAAATTTCTTACACTTAAAAAAGTCTTTAATTCTGGTTCTTACCCATGTTTTCTAAAACACAATGCATCAATAGTGTACAGAACAATATATTCCCTTGCTGATTTTAACCTTCTTTAAAATGACTAAATGATTTGGTCTCAAGGACAATAAACAGTCACGTAAAACTATTTCCGTATGAAAGATGTGAACCAGATGGTTACAAAACAGAGGGAAAAAAGCCTTTTCACAAATTGTCTCTTCACATCAACAACAACCAACGGCAACCTCTGAAAACTATAAGTCTTTACATTTCATAAAAGCTGCTCTCACTGCCACTGTGGACAGGGTTGCTTCCTTCATAGAAATCCATTCTTTGAAATGGATTTCTATTTTGGCTTAAAAGATTAACCAACATTAGCTCATGTTGTCGCTCCTCCCTGCGACGCTCATTCTCTAATTCTTTCAGCCGTATTTCGTGCACAACATTTCTTTTTGGCGCATGTTCTCAAGCTTTACAAGCATGTCCATCTCCTGTTCAGCAGCAGTTTTGAAGCTCTCGGTTAACACTGCAAACGATTTCTCAAATCTGGTCATTTTGCCTTTCTTGACAACTTTGTTTTTTTTCGTATCAGTTTTTGCTTCCGCTTCCATCTCCAATTTGGGTTTTTTTGCCCCACTTAGTCTTTCCTCTCTTGCCCCACTGCTTCCCTCAACACTGCCTTTTGAATTTGAGCTCAACTCTTCATTGTCAGCTTCATCACCAGATTCGACGTTGGTTTCGTCCTCAATGTTCCCTTCTGTTCCGCTATCCAAATCTTAACAGGGGAACAAAACAATTACGAACACAGAGAAGGTAAGGTAAACAGGGGAAGTACAAGAAAATTATGTGATTCCAAAGTTGCATTTAGTAAAAGTTTGTAAGACAGTAACATACTGAGCTACCACTTCTGTCAGCATTACAAATCAAAATCTTGTTAATTTTGGTAAATGATGATGTTACTTCAGGCTGTAGTGACTGGCGAACATGATGATGATGATGATGATGATGAAACAAACCTGTACTTTCAGCAGGTGCACTTGAATCAATAAGGCATGCAGGCGAAGATGTGTCCCTGTGACCACATGCTTGATCCATCTCATCAAAAAACTTCCATTTTTTCTGACGTTCAGTGCCACTTCTTTTTTGCTTATCGTGATGTTGTTTGTACTGCTGTCTCAGCTTTTTCCATTTGTTAATGATGGCATCTAAACTGATATTAATACCTACAAAACAAAGAGGCTAAGTTGCCAGGTATTCTACAACAAACACTTCTCTTCATCAAGGCTTGCATTATCTGACATACGAAATGGCGAGCGAAAATAACATCCAGTACCTTAACTAGCATCACGATGAAATTTGAAGAGTCCCTGTTACAAATGGAAAGTACTAATTTCGATCTAACTAGTTTTTCATTGAAAACCTTTCGCATAAACCCCTGGGGCATAAACATCGATCAGCTTACCTTTCTTTTGCATCTGTACTTGAACAGTTTTGTAAGCGGCCCTTTTCTCCTTTGGCGTCTTCGCATTATCCAGACTAAACATAACTGTCTCTTCTTGCATTATTTGAATTAATTCCTTTACATCTTCCTCTTTCCATGAGTATCCACGCGATTTTTTGGGCGACTTTCCTTTGGAGTTTGCTTCCGCCATGTTGAAACGTGAAGTGAACTTTCTGCACATGCTCCCAACAAATGGTGCTGACTAATCGCATAAAGGCTCACTCGGAAAATGTTGGTTTGGCACGGCTTATCGTTTACACTACGCACTTTATCCGACCCGGGCTAGAGTTTTTGGAACGCGTACCAATTTTATCCGTGCTCGGACTACCTCGCGAGTAGGTCCGAGCACGGATAAAATTTTGGTTCGGGTGCCAGAAACATCGGTCGGCACGGATGAGGCAAAGTTGTTTACACGACTAAATTCATCCGTGCCGAACCAATGTTTCTGGTACGCGTACCAATTTTATCCGAGCCGTGCCAAAAATTTTCTGTCGTATAAATCGGCCTTTAGTGTCGTTTAAAATAATTGACAAAAGTACTTGCTTGTTTAAATATCTTAATTGCTTTTATATTCTGAGTTTGTTTCTCTCTAATTAAAAAAAGGCAAAAGTTGCATACGATCACAAACTTACTGATATCATTTGACATGATGGGATAGATCTGAAATATTTACCGCTGTGCCTCTGTCACAACACTCTACTCTTTAGATCTAACCTCAGGCTAACTTTTTCATTCCTTTTTCATTGCTGACAAAAGTACGAATTTTATCCTCAGGCACGAGTGACCACAGCAAACGAATAAGGGATATCTATAGAACGAGAAGAAAAAATGAAATAATATAAGTACCAAAGACACCACGTGTAAGCACGTTTCAAGAGAAATAAGTGCAGTTTTCCCTCTCTTTTAAGGTGTAGAAGGGAAAATTTGCTTCAATCAAAAAAGGAAAAAAGAAAAAGATTCTCCTCCTCATCATCATCAGGTCTCTAAAACATTCAACTTCAGCAAGATGGGTGAAGTAAAAAGATGATGGCTTGACGTCTTTAAATATGAAAGATATCGCGATGGAAAATGACTTCAATTCGCGTGATGCATTTAGGGAGAAACTGAATCCCTATTATTTTATTTCAGTGTTACCAAAATGAGTGCAAAAAGCATCATTTTCTGGAGGTATCTGAAATTTAAGATCATGGGTGTTTTGCAAGCCTTTGGCCAACGGCCCATGTTTTCTTCCTTTCACTGATAAACAAACGTAATGAATTTGAATAAGAGAACATTAACAGCTCGCATTCTCTGGATTTGAATTGTTATCACGCAAGCACTGTTCCCCAACTTCAACCTCGTCCCTGAACCTCTTTGGTTTACAAAATGGCAGCGATTTCTCCGTGACCGGCCACCATTGTGAAACCCACAAACCCCCGAGCAATGTGAGGTTAACTCATTGAGTTCCAGTCGACTACTCGTTTGACGTCACTAGGATTTGTTCATTAGCATTTTTTAACCAAGGGATCACGTCACGTAGAAGACTTCACACGTAATTCGCTAATGTTGGTAATTCTTCATTGTCGTTTACTAAAATAACCCCATATCAGTGACAGCTTGCCTTCTTAACTTGATTTTAAAAAATCGAAGCGCAAACCCGACACTTCGGCTAAAAAGGTTTCCTAGACGTTAACACTTTCAAGTACACTGTTCTCTGTCAGTCATTTAATTAAAAGCGGTTTAAAACAAACGTTGTGATAAATATTGATCGTGACTAAGTGATACCTCAAGATCTTTAGTTTTCAGTTGGAAGAGGTGCCAAAATCAACACGAACTTCAATATGGATAGATATTTTTCAGCTTTTCAAAATTGTTTACATCTACTTTCCGTGACAACCAGCTAACTGTTGTTTCTTTTTCCACGCTGAGAAAAGCGAATTTAAATGATCAGTGTAATTACGACCTCATTTTGCATAATCACTGAAAACACCGAACAATAAGTCAAATACCCAATCAATAGCCACTGTTAATTCATGCTTGAAAACTGAAAATCACATCAGCAAAACTGCATGACAGATTACTTCGCTCAGTTGACCCATGTAGTTGAAAACCATCAACTGACGGTCGTTTTATTTCAAGTGTAATACAGTGTCAGGTTCATTTGAAACGTGCTACTCTCAAGCGGAAATGGTCGTGAAAAGCAAAGTGCCGGACGTTTACATTCCTGAAGATCTTTCGTGGCCACAGTTTGTATTTCAAAACTTTGAAAACTACGGAGACAAGACGGCCATTGTGAGTACAGTATATCAGTTAAACGGGATTAAATTTTAGTCTGTCATTTGCAAGGTCTTGTTAAGTGAAAAGTCACGTTTAACTTCTAGAACTCGTGAACGATGCAGTATGTAAACAGATTGTTTCATGGGAAGTAAAATCAATTGTTATGATTTTATGGTCAACTTTGATCGGCACATTAAGGTGTTTTGAATTGGTCATCAAATAATCGTTGAATTAATTCTCACAAAGTCGAACGAAATGGAAGAAAATCGATTCCTCGGTGAGGATTAATCATAGTCGGTAAAGCAATTCATGTGCGTGTTTATATTTGTAAAAAGCGTTGTTAATCTTCTACGATTAACTCTAGACGCAGCGAAGGTGTTTGTTTTGTTTCTTGTGCTCTGGGTCTCTAACTCTGTTTCTCTGACGGATTCTAAATGTATCATTTGCAGTCCTTCGTACGGAAGAACAAGAAATCCCCCATTCTCATAACCAAAAAAATTATATACACCTCAAATGTCATTTCTAACGGGTCTGACATAGGAAATCGACTGTTTTTAAACTCTATCAACTTTATGCACACGCAATATTACAGCAAAAAGCGTGCAGAATAAATTCAAAGTTCACAGAAAACCAATTAGGACCTGCACCATAAAATCGTCTTCTGCATTTAACTAAGTAGTAACTAAAATACACTTAAAATAACTTGCAGCAACGTTTGTGTTCAATTAATTGCTACTTGTCTTACTGCTGTTTGTATCACTTTAGATCTTTTTTGTTGCTATGGCAATGTTATTTTGACCAAGAAAGTCCCGCTGTTAACAGCGGTGTATTTCGATTGTTGCTGTATCGCTATTTTATATTATTTGATGTTCTATATTTTAATGAGTTTATTACAGATAGATAGTCCTTGGGTAATTGTTTACTAATATGATATCATGAAAACCACCTTATTGACCAAATGGATTCCCTGCATAAACGCTTCCTTCATCGACTCAGAATTTGGCATATTACGTGACAGAGTAACACGAACACAATGATCCTATCGGGGGTGGTAAAAAGGGCTTATTTTTCTTTTAAAGACAAAGATTTCTTAACAACGGTTTTATGTAGTGTGTACTCTACTCCTCAAGAAAACAGTAAGCTCAATCAACTTCTAGTATGTATCTCTTCGAAGCAGCTCATACGTAGAATCACGTAGCCCTTTAGGATAAAAAAAACTCAACGGGTTCTGACAGGCGTGGTCGAGAAAGCAAGTTTGTTTTCAAAAATGCGGCCATGTATCATGAGATAGTTTGGGCAGAATTTCAAGGTACATTGTACAGTTTATTCTGTTTCTTGTTTTCTTCAGGTCGACGGACCATCAGGCCGTTCGTACACTTTCCAGCAGCTAATCCAGTTGACCAGAAAATGCGGGTCGGCCCTTACAAAGAAAGGCTTCAAGAAGGGCGACGTTTTCGCCATCATGCTCCCAAACATGCCAGAGTTTCCGTTAATTTACTACAGTACTCTTTTAATAGGAGGGATCGTAACGACACTAAATCCATTGTATACAGTGGACGAAATCTCACACCAGCTCCGTGATGCGGGAGCTACTTCTATCATAACAATTCCACTGTTTGCAGACAAAGCCAAGCAGGGCGCTTCGAATGTTGGAATTAATACAGTGTACGTTGTTGGAGAGGCCGAAAATTGTGAGTCACTTTCGTCTTTGCTCGAAGACGAAGGCGAAGATTTTCCGGAAAATGTCGAGATCAACGCGAGGGAGGACGTTGCCTGCTTGCCATATTCGAGCGGGACTACAGGTCCTCCAAAAGGAGTAATGCTTACTCATTATAATCTGATTGCAGAGGCTTCGATAGTAACTCATGATAGTTTCATGTTAAACAACGACGAGCCAGTCGTACTTGGCCTGTTACCTTTTTTCCACATTTTTGGACAAATTATCTCGATGTCTTGTGCCTTGTTTAAAGGTGGGAAGGTTGTGTGTGTGCCAAAGTTTGAACCAGAGTCCTTCCTCAAGGTCATTCAAGACTATAAGGTTTGCGTCTTACCTTCCTTCCTTTCGTTTATCCTCACTAACTTAGCTCTTTTTCCTTGCTATTTACCAGTCCCCCTGCTTGTCTCTCTCTAAGTCAAGAATGGGAAACGCGGTTGCCTAAGAGTTAATGTGCACGACTCCAGGTCACAAGGTCTAGGTTCTAGCTCTGGCCGGATCATTATGTTGTGTTCTTCGGTAAGACACAGTGCCTCCACCCAGGAGTACAAATGGTTACCGGCTAAATACCACCTGAAGAAATGCCGGTTGGTGAAAATGGTGGTGGTGGGGGGGTTTGACCCTCAGAGGACCAGCATTCCCTTCAGGGGTAGTAGCTCTGCTCGCATTCGTTTTATGTTACAATATCCCGCATAGCCTCGGCAGTGTGGATCATTTGGCCACAGCACTGAGTTTACCTTCTAAATCAATGTTTCGTTGGCTAGGTTTCCCATGCAGCTGTTGTACCGTCAATTGTGCTATTCTTGGCTAAGAGTCCACTTGTCGAGCAATATGACTTGTCCAGTTTGAAGGATTTGACATCTGGGGCAGCACCTCTTGGAGGCGAATTAATGAATGCGCTGAAGGAGCGTATTCCATCAATGGAATGGTGCCGGCAAGGTGGGTAATACAGGAATATTTGAGGAAACATTGATTCTAGAGGCAGAAGTCTCATTCGATACAAGACAGAATCCTTTCATCCCCTCTTCTCTTAGCTTACATCCACAGTGCCTTCATGAGCTTACGTCACAGTGAAATACGAAAGAAAGAGAGAACAAGCATAAAATTACTTAAGGCAAATTCGTAGCCAAGAAGTTAATTACATCTATTTGACACAAGTTTATAATTTTTTTCTTGATTAGGTTTCGGCATGACAGAGTTGAGTCCTACATCTCACGTGACACCATTTGATAAGATTAAAAATGGATCTGCGGGAATGCTGCTACCAAATCTTGAGTGCAAGGTAAGTGCAACTCCGAAAAAGGCTAAAAAAAAGCTCTTAATGAATAATATTCTTTTCAGCGTTTTTTTCTAATGCCTGTTCACCACTTTAACTTACAGACTTAATAAAAATCCAATGTTATCATTTGAAACCCTCTTTTAACCACGAGAGAGGTCTTTTTTTTTTCATAGTTGTAAGTCATATTTGTCCAACTTTTATTTTAAAAAAATTCCCTTCATATTTAAACCATGAAGCTAAGGAAACATGAACAGTTCTGCTTTCGTTTGTATCTGCAATTCACAAATCTGGTCACAACAATATGTACAGCACTCTGACTTTTCGTTGCAAAGGACATCAGTCCATAAAATGATATTTTAATTTTCTCTCCAGGTTGTTGACATTGAGAATGGTGATGAGCTGGGTCCCAATAAGGAAGGCGAGATTTGTGTCAAAGGACCCACTGTTATGAAAGGTATATCCCAAATTAAACTGATTTTGGAAACTACTCCTAATGCCAAATCTACATCAAATTTTAAATGTTATCCTTTTAATTTGAAGAAGGAATTTGAAGGTGATTTCTACCTGGTTTAAAGTAACGATTTCTAAAAGAAATGCTGTTAAAAGGTATTTTCAAAGAGAAATCTATCACATTATTTCATTCTAAGCACATTTAAGTTCATCGGTGAGAATTATATGGCGTAAGGACCTATCTACTAAGATTATTTGTCTGATTATGATTCACGACCAGTTTAAAGCAAGGTTTACAACGCTGTGTCTCAGTAACCCCAACTCTCTGCAGGGTACCTTAACAATCCAGAAGCCACCGCGCAGACAATTGATGCAGATGGCTGGTTGCACACGGGGGACATCGGCTATTACGATGGTGATGAACATTTCTTTATTGTCGATAGACTCAAGGAACTTATCAAATTCAAAGGATTTCAGGTGACTTACATTTTAATTTGCTTGTTGGCTTGATTTTTTTTCTTGCACGAGGCTCTCAGTAGTCCCAAAGTCAAATCGGGTTTGTTTTCCTCTTTTTGCACCAAAGCGGTCAGCAGGGGACTGGTTCTGATAAATTTTCTTCAACTTACTTTATTTCCGTTTAGTGACAGATGAGTTTGTCCTGATCCTGTAGCCATCCACTCACCGCCCCCGCCCCCTCCCCTCCTCTCTATCTCCTCAACATAAATGACTCAGTTTTCTTGTTCATCTATTCCTAATTCCCAGGTTCCTCCAGCCGAGCTCGAGTCTCTCCTCATCTCTAATTCAGCCATAGAGGATGCTGCAGTAATCGGGGTCCCAGATGAAAGGGCAGGTGAACTTCCAAAAGCCTTCGTCGTAAAGAAGACCAACGAAAGGATCACTGAAGAACAGATAATAAAATTCATTGAAGAGCGAGTGGCACCGCATAAGACATTAAAAGGCGGTGTGGAATTCATCGATAAAATACCAAGAAGTTTGAGCGGTAAAATACTACGAAGAGAGCTTAAGGCGAGAGTTATGACAAGACTAACTACAGCTACTGAAAATAAAAACAACGAAGAAGAAAAAAACGTTATCCGAAGTAAAAATCCCGATGTAGAGATTCCAGACAATCTGTCTTGGAATGAATATATTTTTCAAGACTTTGATGAGTACGCGGACAGGGAAGCCATCGTGAGTCTTCTATCATTTATCATTATTTTCCTTTTTACATATAGCCTCTGAACAGGCCCTAGTTTTTTAACTCTTCACTAAGTGCGTTTCCTCGACCGCGGTAAATTATGAGGCCCTGAGCTGCATGAACCGACAAGAGGTTTAGTGCCAGACCCCAGGCAAACCTCTCTACGACTTGTTTCAAATCTTCCTGCGGGCAGAGAAACGCGCGTCCTGCAGCGCTAAAACAAATAAAATTTTACTTGATTTCTAGCCAGTCGTAAAGAGGGGAAAAAGTCTGAATAGGTGTGGATTAAGATCATTCCTCGTTTAAATTCAAAATCCTAGCTAACTAACTTATTGAAATTTCTTAAAAGTGCTCCTCCGAAAAAAAAAACACGCGTAAAATTATCCCTTCATACTTTTTCTTCTCTTTGCAGCATTAAAAACAATATAGAGGTAAACATTATCGTAGGCGAAAAAAATTGGCTCGTGAAGAAACTTTGTTCAAATACGTTGAGCAGTTTTGTTGTGAAAAGATTTACTCCTGCTTGGTTGTAGTAACGAGAGAAAATGTCATGTCACGCGAAGCCTTCGTGTACGTTGGAGTAATTTGTCACAGAATCTTTGATAATACGATTTAGTTATCTATTTCCTAAGAGAGACTTGTAATATTGAATAAATAAGTCAATAATTGATATATTTCTTCTATTGACAGAGAGATTCCATATCTGACCGCTCATACTCATATCGCCAAATAAAGGATTTGAGCAGAACAATTTCATCTGCTCTAAACAAGCGAGGATTTAAAAAAGGAGACGTGTTTGCCATGTTTTTACCAAATCTGCCCGAGTTTCCCATAATTTACTTCGGTGTGCTTAAGGCAGGGGGTGTGGTCACTGCAGCAAATCCACTCTTCACAACCGAAGAACTTGCCAAACAATTAAAACTGGCTGATGCCAAATGGATACTTACCGTACCCCAGTTGGTTCATCGAGCAAAAGAAGCCATGCAGGATCTGGGACGAGAGAATGTGTTCGTCATCGGTGACGTCGACGGATGTGAGTCGCTTTCAGTCCTCCTCCAAGATGACGGTTCTAGCGTTCCTGACGTCACAGTAAACCCTAAAGAAGACATAGCGGTTCTTCCCTTTTCAAGCGGGACCACGGGTCAACCCAAGGGGGTTATGCTCACTCACTACAATCTCGTCTCATGCGGAAGTATCATGCGAACAGAAGGCTTTCTAAGCTTCAGCGATACAACCGTTCTTTTAGCATTTCTTCCGTTTTTTCATGTCTACGGAATGGTGGCTATAATGTCAATGGGTCTTCATTGTGGAAGCACCATCATAACTATGTCACGATTTGAGCGGGATAAGTTTTTACACGCACTAGAGAACTATGAGGTTAGTTATAAAGTAACGCCTCAAAAATTTAGATTTGTCTCCCGCCGTCGGTCTAAATCGTCATCATTCTTAGTCTTCTTGATTTTTTTATCGCTTTTTTTTATGTGAATATGATCCATAACATGTAATTTAGAGACGTTTTACCGTGCCTTTCTCCATTTTCCAGGTGACCCATCTTCCCGCGGTACCCCCTGTGGTTTTCTTGTTAGCTAAGCACCCCTCCGTTGATAACTTTGACTTGTCATATCTGACTGAAGTCACAAATGGAGCCGCTCCCTTGGGAAAACAAGTTTCAAAAGCTCTAATGGACAGACTTCCGCTCCTCAGCAGCGTGCGACAAGGTAAGTGTATTCTGATAATGGCAATGGTAATTGTAATGGCAGTTTTTCTGACTTTCAATGGAATCGAAAAATGCGTTGTGGAAAGGTTTTCAGCTGAGATGGATGAACTCGAGCAAGTTATGAGGGCTAACTGAAAATGGAGGGAAATATGATTAATAGGCTTGAATGTAGAACTATTTTTCCCTCTTTCCTGACCGTTTAAGTCATAATCTCTCCTTGTAACTCTTAGGAGAATTGATGATAAATGTGTATGCAGTATTTATGGCGAAAAGGTGTCTTTAAGAATTTTTTTTGTGGGGAGGGAGGGAGCTTTCATGAGTTCTCTACATCTCTAGGAAAGTGCATCCAAAATTCAGCCATTATCTGAAATAGTTAGATACTTAACGATATTTCGCGGGAATATTTAGAAAATGAACTCTTTAATTGAACAGCACTAATTCAAGTATGTTAAAATTTGAATTATGAAAATGATTTTCTCATTATTCCCCCCGTTAGGTTATGGAATGACCGAGCTAAGCCCGGTGTGTCACATGACTCCTGCAGAAAACAACAAACACGGTTCTGTGGGGTGCATACTGCCAAACTTACGGTGCAAGGTAAGATATTATGTGAACATAGCTGATTCCATGAATTAATTTAATTTGTATCCTCTAACTCGTACCCAACTCCCCTTTGAACACGATGATACAGCGGCTAGCTTGTTGGACTCTGGCTCGAGGGGCCTGGGTTCGAGCACTGGCTGGTTCGTTTCGTTTTGTTCTTGGGCAAGGCGTAGGCAAGGTATTTAAAAATTCCCACAATTACTCCCTCGATCCAAGAGTTATCTTATTCTCGTCCGTAGGTGGTTGACGTGGAGACTGGGGAGGCTCTAGGTCCTGGTCGTGATGGCGAAATTTGTGTCCAAGGACCAACAGTCATGAAAGGTTAGAACAGACAATATAGTGAAAAAGAAATTTCGCAAGTAAAGAAACCTGAGTAAATTTTTGTGTCTTCCTGCCAATTGATCTGAAGAGGACTCACCAATACCCTGGCCGTACACTAAGTTAATACGTGCATAGCGGCAATATCGTCTCACGAAGAGATACAGTTATTAATAACTAATGAATTCTTTATTATTTATTAACTAACCCTCTTATCAACAGGATATCTCAACAATCCAGAGGCAACTACACAGACAATTGATAATGATGGCTGGCTTCACACAGGAGACATTGGACATTATGACGAGGATGAACATTTTTTTATTGTTGACAGAGTTAAGGAGTTAATAAAATACAAAGGATATCAGGTATGGAAACGTAAAATGATTGACCACCTGACTGAATCACTGACGGACTAATTGCCTTTTGCATTAGTAATAATTCTTCGGTTTTTGTGATTTCAATATCCGGCTCTTTCCAGGTCCCCCCGGCTGAACTTGAAGCCCTCCTTATTTCACATCCTGCCATAGAGGATGCAGCAGTCATTGGAGTTCCGGATGCAGAGGAAGGCGAGCTGCCAATGGCCTTTGTGGTGCGTAAAGCTGATGTCACACTCACTGAAAAGGATGTCCATGTATATGTTGATGAAAATGTAGCAGCTTACAAAAAACTGAGAGGCGGCGTGGAGTTTATAGATGAGATTCCAAAGTCATTGAGCGGCAAAATTCTTCGTCGAGAACTGAAAGACAGACTGAAAAAACTGTCCAAAGTCGAGAGCTCTTCGGGTGCGAGGAAAAGAAGTTTTAAAAGAAGCGTGCGACAAAACGCAGACAAGAAAGTAACGAACGGGAACTCGGAAGGAGTAGCAAAAACTGCCGTGGGTGTGGCTCCAAAATCCAGCTGCTGTTTGATTATTTAACATAACTAAGCTGATCGAGATCTAAATTATCCTTAATCTCTTTCTTACCATTAGCGCTCTTTTGAGTGTGGTTATGGCAATTAAAATTATTTCCCTTCCCCCGTGAATAGAACTTCAAATTTCCAAAAAGCCCTCCTCTCTAATAAACGGCGCGGGCTTGAAAGAATGTTTATGGTACAAACAATTCACTCAACACGAATGACTACATCGAGGATAGTCGAGCTAATTCAAGATAACCTTTTCATATCAACATAGGGCATAAACATTTGTACAAAATACACACGAAAAAAATTTTTAATTGACGAAACAATTCACCAAGAACGCGCAAAATATCCTTCAGTAGCCGCAATGAACATTAGGGTTATCTATTCAAATTTTCTACATATGGCAATATTATGAAAAAATGTATAGCAATAATATACAAAAACTCATGCCTTGGACGCAACTGTCATAGTCATTGCGTCCTCCAAAAGAATTGAAGTTACATGTTTTCAAAGGAAACAAAAAAAAAATTTGATTCGTTCCTTGAACAACCAGATGATTTCTAACATCAGGTTGACTTGCTTAGCAACCGACATCACGCTGGTGTGACGGTTCTAACATAACTCGATCCAATTAGCTTCATAAACCGTTCATGTTATTTACACCTTGAGGTTTTCAGTTTGAATAAAACTCAAACATACAGCAACCTGTTTTCCATTGCGTATTCTTCTTTTGGTCGTAAGCCAGGGCATTACGGGAAGTCAGCATGGAAGAGAGTTGATCACTAAAGTCGGTTCATTGCAAGACTGCGGTCACCATCTTGAAATTCAAGCAAATTTCACTCCTTTTGTGTGCAAACTAAAATCGCCCAAATAGGCCCAGCTTAGTTCCCCGCTAGCAAAATACGGCATCTTCTTCTTCGTCATGAGGGCAATAAACCCCACGTCCTTTGATCAGTATACACCCAAATTCATGAACAAATCTAAGCGGAAAGTGAGAATAAGAAATCGTATGTATGACAACTGCGACATACATGAAGTGGAAAAAGCCTGATACCTTGCAATATAGTCACAGCCCGAACTACAAAATAATGTTCAATTTTTTTCAGTCCCTTGCACAAGCTTAATTGCACTGTATTCAACAATTTAAGCGCTCGTTATGTTTGCGGAATGTCAAGATTAAAATAGACAAAACAGAGAACCAGTAAAATGAAATGAAGCACGTAATTCTCTTGTTGGGGAAACTGTGGCGTCATTCAGGTCGAGTCAAGCTTCTTGGTGAAACTAAAGCAAACATAGCAAATTTAGTCACCATTATATCAAATTATTTAGATTGAAGCTCTTCTTTAATCTGTGAATTTTTTTTCTCTCAGTCCTTCTGGTTTTAAGGAACAGGTCTTAAAGAGAAAAAAATCGGTCCGTGTTTTAAACTTCAGGTCCAAGTTTCATTCGTTCCCGCAGTCCGTGTTCCATGGTTGGTAAACCGTCCTCTTTGGGCCGAGTCCTTCTCTTGATTTCATGCTGACTGTCTCGTGACGCCTGGTTACATAGGGCACTTCACAGGACACTTACGAATATTTCGTAACTGGATAGTTGTTTTCCAGTTAGCATTGTATGATCATTGGATAATGGCGCTTAAAAGCAAGTACGCAGACATTTTAATCCCAGAAGATGTGTCCTGGCCTCAGTTCATTTACCAGAATTTTGATAAGTTTGGCGAAAAAACTGCGCTTGTAAGTATACTTCATGATTCAAGATCATTACAGGCGACCCAGAATTTAATTTTACTAAGTTTCGCAATTCCTTGATGGTTGCGCTTTGATATTGATAATATGAGAAAGGTTAACAAGCATTAAATCTCAGAAAGTATAGATAAGAAAATGATAAATAGCCGACCTAACAACATTTGCGTACTGCAGAGTTTTTATCTTCATTAATAAGGATCGAATCAATTGATCCTCTGCATACTCCCTCATGAAATGTTTTCATAAGAGATCGTTTTATCGACTTTCATTCGATCTTCGAAGCTGTCTCCCCAAAGGGAATCTAAAACAGAGCATAAAAGTATTCCACATTTAGCACAATCTGTCTGATAGCGAAGATTTTGAATCAAAAGGCCATGGTCAATTTGTTCATATGCAAATAACTTTCTATTTACATCTATACAGTATATCTATCTATCGGGATCGATCTGTATCTATTTATATTTCTATCTAGTTTAAAGGCAAACTGTCTTCTAAAAAGTGGAAGTTTCGAACGATCGCTTTTTAACCTTTCAGTTTAAATGAAACTTAACCTTACATGTCACTTCTTAACTTGTCACGCAAGTTACGTGACGATTGTTGTTTGGGTCACAACATACGAAGCATTTTCAGCTTGCCGTTGCGTGATGCCTTGCGCTGTGCGAGCAATTTTCTCCACAAACCTTTGAAACTGGTTTCAATCTTTTGCGGCCAAAAGGGTATGGAGCCTCAGTTTTTAAGCTTATACAAAAGAAGTCTTATTGGTGGCAAAAATAATGAGGTGAAGGGATCTTCCTTTCACAGAAGTATTAAGTTTCTTTATGTTTGCGTTTCAGTTGTACTTTGGATTAACTTTTTTTCTACTCACAAGGTGGATGCTCTGTCTGGGCGTTCCTACAGCTACAAACAACTTAAAAACTTGACGCAAAGATTTAGTTCAGCATTGGCCAAACGTGGCTTCAAGAAAGGAGACGTCCTGGCCATGTTCCTCCCAAACGTTATCGAATATCCCATAATTTTCTACGGCACTGCTTTTCTGGGTGGCACAGTCTCGACTGTCAATCCTTTATACTCATCCCAGGAATTAGCGCGCCAGCTACGAGTATCAGAAGCAAAATACATTGTTACCATTCCCCCACTGGCGGAAAAGGCCAAAGACGCTGCCGCATTGGAAGGAATTCGTTCTGTAATTGTTGTCGGTGAGGCGCCAGGATGCGAGCCGTTGTCGTCCTTTTTCGCTGACGATGGAACAGCTTTTCCGGAGTTTGTGTCTATCAATCCAAAGAAGGATATCGTTGCACTGCCATTTTCGAGTGGAACGACAGGATTGTCCAAAGGTGTCATGATAACACATCACAATCTTGTAGCTGGGCTGTCCGTTCTATTTTCGTGTGATGTCTTCCCCGCGGATTCGGCTGTCTTAACTTTACTCCCATTCTATCATATCTACGCCCTGCTTTGCATGATGGGAGGATGTTTACAACTTGGATGTAAGGTTGTGGTCATGATGCGCTTTGAACCTGACTCATTCCTGAAAGTTATGCAAGATTACAAGGTTGGTTTTCGTTTACTTCAGTGAGAACCTATATTATCTTTCACTTGTGAGATTCATTTGCGCCCCTCTCCCCTCCTCCCCCCCCCCGTCTCTGACTGGGTGGTCAATAGGCCCCGAGTACCGCGCGTGCTCGCAGACTTGAGCCCCATAAAAAACTAGAACGAAAGGAAATAAGAAGGCTGCAAATACAACTAAGACGTGTTCACCTCATTTAAAACCGAGAGGTTAACACTCTGGGAGCGCACAGAGAAATTTTCTATTTTACCCAAGGTAACTTATTTAACTTACGATATTTATTATCCAGGCAACTCTAATTCCTCTCATTCGCCATTTATCCGTGACAGATAACAGACGCCCCACTTGTTCCACCGCTCATTCTGTTTTTGGCTAAGCATCCGCTGGTGGATAAGTTCGACTTGTCAAGCTTGGAGCGTGTGAACTCAGGGGCCGCGCCTCTTGGCAAGGAGCTGGAGACAGCCATGTTAAAACGGCTTACTCAAGTAAAGAGAATAAGACAAGGTTAGAAAACGGAAGAAAGTTCAGCCAAAAGGATAAAATAAGGTCCGAATTACTTACGGGGGACCGTACCTTTGCAAAAGACAGCAGGTCTACCTTAGAGACGTGTCCTCTTCTGAAGGGCCTGAAAGGGGTATCTGAGTAGGGTCCCTCAGCGCATATGAGTACCCTCAAGAAAAAGGCATGGCCTAGATTAATAAAAAATCTCGCATGTTCCCCAAATTCAATAATGACACTGCTAATTTCATGCTAAAGACACCGGGATTAATCCCTGATTATCCAACCGCACTAAGTAGAGTACAAATAACGCTTGAATGGAGTAAAAATACCCGAGATGTTGTACACTTGCCTTCTCTTGTGCCGTATTTAACAAGCGTTCAATCGTTCTTGGTTCACAGCCTTCTGCTCCTCAAGTTCCGCCAGTAATTCCTGCGAAGCGTCGTCGGCATGTGATTGAGTCGGACGATGAAAATGAGATGTAGTTTTGGAAATTCTCTTTTTGTAGGCTTAGAGCTCATACATGTCTTTGAGAGTTTGCCTTTCGGTGGATTCCCTGCGGGCTCGTCAAAATACGGCACAACTCGTAAAATACTCAGCGATACTAAATACCAAAACGTCCAATAAGATATGTATATTATCGGTTAGTTGGTCTCTATAACTAATTATGCAAACTATTTTTACATTTGCATGACTATCTTTTCGCGTTTTTTTTTCTTTTCTTTATCGTAGGGTACGGTATGACAGAACTCTGTGGAGCATCCCATTGCACTCCAGCTGAAGGTAAAACCAAATTTGGATCCGTCGGGCTACTACTGCCAAACCTGCAATGTAAGGTGAGCTCATCGATAGCTTCTCTAAGGGAGATAACACAGCATTGTTTAACCTCTAACATGAACCATCCACACAATTCCATAAAACACATTTAGTAAGTGAGATTTAACATCAGTGTTGTTACTTTGTTTTCTTTTTATGTCAATAGGTCATCAGTCCTGAAACTGGAGAGATTCTCGGTCCAAACCAGGATGGAGAAATCTGTGTGAAGGGTCCCTTGGTTATGATGGGTGAGAATTTTATCACATGGAAATCATAGATGGCTTGATAAGTGCACTGTTGTTGATGCAGTTAAACCTCGTTGAGAAATTTTTATTGGCACTACCTCGTCCCCAGCCCTCTTTCATACTGTCGCCCTTGGCCTTAGGGAGGAGGGGGTGGGCTGCTCGTCGGGAATGAAAGAAAAGAACATGGGAACGATGTAGCAACGTCAGCGATTTCTAAGACTGACAAAATTTCCAGCACTTTATTGTCTTTAAAAAGTGCTAGTTATCTTTATCATAATTTTTTAACTAGTAAAGAAACGCTTTAGTGATCAGTAACTGTTGATTAACTTGCTCGTGGCTGCTGTGGAAGGCGATGTGTGAAAGGCCGAGATTATTTTCTTCGCTTAGCGTGCAGAACAAGCAAAAATCTTTTGTTTCTCAGTCTATCGGAGGCAGTGAAAGCACAAAAAAAATTCTGTCTGTTCTGTAGGCTCAACTGGGCGGAATTTTCTTTCAGGATATACAAAAAACCCAGAGGCCACTGCAAAGACAATTGACAGTGATGGCTGGCTTCACACAGGAGATATTGGACATTATGATGAGGATGAACACTTCTTTATCGTCGATAGAATAAAGGAACTTATAAAATACAAGGGATTTCAGGCAAGTTCTGCAACTCATAAGAAAAAGCTGGCGCTTATTAATATTAATTTATTCTTTATATGAAATTCCAATGGGTTAAGTAACGTAAATCAGGTTATTAATTAGATCTATTTTGTCTTCCGCACCGCACTCCAGGTTCCGCCGGCCGAACTTGAAGCTTTATTGATTTCCCATCCAAACGTTGACGACGTGGCTGTCATCGGCGTCCCCGATCTCGAAGCCGGAGAGCTCCCGAAGGCTTTCGTGGTTCGTCGTGGTTCTGTGACGTCAGAGGAGATAATGGAATTTGTGGCTAAAAGAGTGATACCACAGAAAAAGCTCAGGGGTGGTGTGGAGTTTATTGATCAGATACCAAAATCACCTAGTGGAAAGATACTACGTCGGGTGCTAAGAAATCGCGAGACAGAACGGCTCAACACAGCAAAGTTATGAAAGGTTTAACCTTAAATCTCTTCACACGTGATATTTCGTCCAACTGGAAGAAGCTGCTTTGAATCGTAACTGACGTCACGACGACGTAGTCCTATAGCAACCTCGTTCCCAGGGTCCTCTCTTTTCCTCCCTGAGGGGAGAAGACCCTGGTAACAATGTTGGCCATATGGATGTGGATACTTTTTAGTGTCTCAGATTGGCTGTTGTTTAGTTAAGTTTTTGATATGATTTTTATAGAAGTTGCTGGCACCATAGGAAAAATTCAGCCATTCCTAACAGCAAAAATGCTGGTATTTGAAATAAACAAACTGAAAGCCATGATGTGATTTTCTTGATTACAAACAAAAATTCCCTTCCCAGCTACAAACGTCAAACATTTCTTTAAACCACAAACAGAAGATTGTTCTGATCCCAGGAGACACTCCCATAGAGGAGGATATGGGGTTCAGCAAAAATTGATTCTCTAATCTCCTCCTCTATCTTCACACCAAATAAGCTTACATTATTTTCTATTTTATCAATTCTTGGAGCACAAGGACTATGAAGGATAATTTTGACAACACAACAAAGAAACTGCTCAGTTAGCATCAAGTTGATGGTAATTTCCAAGTGAGGGAAGCATCTGAACATTGTAGCAATTATGAACCATCCAGGGTGACTAGAAGGTGACTGCGATTGTACTGAGCACCTTCAAGGAGATCCTCACCAATCAGGTGTAAATCCTCGTTTGGGTATTTTTAATTAGGTGCTGGAGCGAAAAACCCTGACACACCACAGAGAAAGAAATCAGTCTAAAATGACACTTGGTGTTAACTAGAGAACTCTCAGCATCAGATTCCCTCCACATGAGTGTAACAGAACAAGTTATTAAAATGTCTACACATTTTTCATTCTGAGAACAAGTTAAGATGTTCTAAACCAGTCATGCAACAGGTAAAATTCATTTCTATGTAATCGGTTTTTATTGAATTAGGGCTGTTACCAAACAATCAGATCCAATCATCCTGCTGTTGACAACATTCAGCATTCAGTTGGTTGAGTTTGTATCATCAGTTTCAATGCAGTCTCTGATCCCCCTCCTGTGGTTGCTTATTTTTCATATGCAGTCTAGGTCAGTCACCACAGATGTGAAAGGGTCACTGGGAAGGGGGAGGAGAGAGAGGAGATTCACCCCCTTCCCATCTTCCCTCCCATGCACCTCACCTCTTGCATGCTTCCCAAAGGACTGGGACTGAGTCAGATGCAGTCTTGTGACTGACAAGCTTAGTGCCTTTCATCTTTCTTAACTCCCTTGCAAGGAAAAATCCCCACCACCATTTGTTCTTTGATATTAAAGGTTCACAGAAATAATTATCAATCAGCAACTTTTGATTTCTTTGTTGCGTGACTCAGCTCTTCAGTGTCTTCAAATAACTCATCAAATGTAGATATCACTTTAAAGTCCCTTTTATCTTCATCTGTCAATGGTGCATTGCCAGGCCGAACACTGATAGCAGTTCTGTATCCTGCCTTAAATGCTGCTCTTGATTCTGGGTAGAAATAAATTAAATTAAATTAGAACAAGGCATTTACCTAAAGATTAAATTGTTCAAGTTTAATAGGTAGCAAGTGACATTCAGTATTTCTATTTTGAAAGACTAATTTTGAAAATGGATCTCATGAGATTTCCTTGAGCCACAATTCCTATGAAAAAAAAAAGAAGGGGGAGGGGTGAAGGGGGTACATTTCATGGACATCAATTCATCTCACATTCTGTGTATGTTTTGTAGAAGACAAATAAATTAATACAAAATTAATATAATGTTAATAATTCTGGCTTAACAACAGCTTCTCGTGACTGATGAGCACTTAAGCTCACTCCAGAGACCCCTCCCTGGTTCAACCCTAAGGTCAACCTAACACAGAGCCTTTTGTGCCAACCCTCCTTGAAGAGGTCACACAGTCTACCTCAAAGATCAAGGCCCAGTACAGGAGACCTAATTACGGTGACAATTTAAATATTGCTATTAGTGGAATACATACCTTTAACAACATCAGTGATAAATAGAATTCTTGAGGGTTTCATATCTACTGCATCAGCAATTTTACTGTAGCTCTCTGACTCAATTTTAGCTCCAACTGTGGTGTCAAAATGTCCACTTATATACTGTGAAACAACAGGAGGGCAAAATTTAATTAGTATAGGAAACAACATGATTTTGAGTGCAATTTGGTGTCAATAAGTAAGAGAAAATTGTAGCCTCTAAAATTTGTGCTTATTTACTCCAAATTGCATGAGAAATTGCATTGTTACTTGTTAGTAATTTACATGAAAAATGCATCCTAGAAAGTCAGGACAGATTATTTGGAATCTACACTTGTGTTACAGCTTTGCACATGTTATATGAAAAATGCACTAATTTTCAGCCGATCAGATGCGTGTAATTTTTTCATGTATGTTAATATTTATCACCATAACGCTAGTTCATCTCTATATTTGCATTGATTTAACCCTTTGAGCCCAGGGAGCATCTAATTTCTCCTTACAATATCACTCACAAATCACACATTAAGGCCATGAGAGTAAAGGAAATCATCACCAACTAAAGAAGCTCTGGATTGTTGAACAAATTCTCTTTGCCAGCACCTTAGGAAATGTTTAGAGAACAGTAGAGAGAATATACAAACTGATGTTAGTGTTAAATTATTTTTTCAATTTTATGAATTTTTAAGGTAAACCAATAAACTAACCTGTAAAATGTTGCCAAACTTAGAGTTACCAAACAGAAGCTTTTGAGAGTCTGTGCTCCCAGATGAGTATATATAAATTTTGATTTTGTTTGAAGTCCATCTTTTGAATGCTGTAACAACATCATCAAACACCCTGCAGTAAATCAGGAAAACACACTTTGATTAAGAGTTTAATCAAATGAGAAAAACCCTTTCTGTATTAAAGTGGTTTACAACAGTGTGACAGTCATAAACTTCTCAAACTTCAAAATGCTACAAAAAAACTCTGAAATATTTTGGTAGTTTAGAACAAAAAGTAATCATCTTCAAATTGCTTGAAATTCTTTAGCAACAACATGGAACATTGTGTTACTTACTCTCCTTTAATAAAACCATCATTAAATGCTTTTCTCCAAATATGGCCTTGGAGTTGTTTTAAGGCAGTTGTTTTTCTATCTGAATTCATCTGCCAGATGACATTGGCAACAACAGCATCCATGATGGTTTCCTTACTGAAATAAAACAAACAAAATGGTTGCACTGCACATGGTTGAAGCTTGTTCACCACAACTATAACCTTTGGAACAACAACCAATTACAATTTTACCAAAACACGCACAGGGTCATTGAAAAACTAAAGTTCAGGTGAAGCAGGCCTGTTGGGATATACATGCTTTTATGATCACTGTGATTGAGAGCTTGTAAGTGCCTGTGGCAGAGAGATGGCCAGTACTGGATGTTTGACTGTGCTATAATCTTATACTTGAAGTATCAGCAAATTAAATAATGTACATACCTTGTCCATGAATTATCTTGAGAAAGATTCTCTTCTTCATCTGGAATTAAAACAACATCTTCCATATCTTTGTCTTTCTCGGCCTTGGAATTGTAAAATATTCATGTAAAATCAGTTTGTTTTGTGCACTTATAGTTCCAGCTTGCAGTCAGTGTGACTAAATCTTTAACCCTTCAACTCCCATGAGTGACCAAGACAGAATTTCTCCTCACAATATCAATATCAAGCAGACAAATGACAAGAATAAAGAAAAATGTCAATAAGGGGATTATAAGTTGACTCAATACCAAATTCTTTGAACTTCAGTCAGACAAGTTGTACAGCTGACAATAAGAAGAATTACTAATAAGATCTTGGATTGATACATGTATAGTCTAAAAAGTATTTTGACTTCATTAACCATACACATTACAAACAAGCCTGTCTGATATATGCTACACACAATGCAATAAAATTCTATATAATATACCTGATTTCTTAAAGCCTTCACATCCTCTTGACACTGATCAGTTCCCCAAGATTTCTCTAAAAAGGCACGTACATTGTCCCTTGCATATGGAAAAAGAACATCCTGTCGGTCAAAACAGAAGCGAACTCATCATCATTATTAAGCTAAATATATTGAAAGAAATAGGTGCATGCTGTCTCAAATAAATCATTTGTTTCCAAATCCAGTCCAAACTTTCCTTTTTAGCGTGCGTGGCTGAATTTCAAATCACCTGTTGGTCCACGTCACGCGAGCTTGATTCTTCGGAATACTTGTTCATATCCAGCAAATTTACCAGCAGGCTTGTATAATTTTAGGGATTTTGCATGAGCTACCATTCTTGCTGTTTTTAAGGAGGATTTTAAATTTGATACAATGCATGCTTTACCAAATTAAATTTCTTAATGATATATAGAGAAGTGTGCCCACATTAGTATCAAGTACCTTGACGAACGAAATTGGCGTTGTTGTTCCTTCAATATCCAGTAACACAACGTCGTAGTCAAACTTGTTTTCCACGGAGCCCTCTTTTGAACCCGTTTTTTGATTTTCCATTGGACCCTAATGATCTACTTCTGCCAGCAAAATAATTACTTTTAGGACTTCTAGGCACCTCTTGTGAGGTCTTCTTCTCCTATCGGTTGTATAAGACTACCTGAAATGTCCCTTAATCGTTCCATCCAAGGAGAAGTCGGCCCAAGGAATATCAAGCGTTCGAAATCAGACACAACTCTCCAAAATCAGAACGAAGAGTATGAAGTCGATCAGAGACGTCCAAATTTGGACGTAACCAAAATCAGACAGTAGCGTCCGAAAATCGGACGCAACTGTCCGAGGACAGATGGAAGCGTTCAAAATCAGACGAAGCGGCCGAAATCGGACGCAGGTGTCTGAGGTCGGACGGAAGCGTCAAAAATCAAAGGAAAGTTCCAAATCGATTTTGTTGAGTTTCATCAGTGTTCAAGATTGTGAAGTCTTAACAATCTAAATGACAGCTCTCTCGTCTTTTGATCTTTATAGATATGTTCAGGATGAGTATGTTTTTATTTGGGGACGGGGGAGCGCAGTAGGACATCCCATAGAACGGCTGTAAAGGATTTGGTAACAGTTATATGTTTAAGGTACAGCAACGACAATAAATTATATCTTAAAAACATCTGGTTTTTATTACATTTAAGCAGCAGATTGTAGGTCGTGTCACACGAATACACCATGTATCCTAAGTAATTCAAGAAGTAAGAAATTTATTTAATTCCTCAAGGCACTTCTGTGTCTTTGGATGAGATAAAATTCCTCCAGTATCAGAAGGTTTTTTAACTGCATGAACTATTGCATCAATTCTGTTCGTCAGAGGAGAAGCAATTCCTTCTTCCAGTTTTTCTTTTAACAAGGTGATTACAGCAATTCCAACAAGTCCTCGATAAAAGTAATTAAAATTTGCAGGAACGTTCCAGTTATTTAGCATGAGATTCTCAAGGAACAAGAGACAATTTTCCAACCGCTCTTTCAAGGAGATAGTCAGTGTTGATTTGTGTTGCTGAAGAGTCAATAGAGCACATCCGTTTTTCCATTCCATTCCATATTTTACAGTTTCCCAGGCCACTCGCGTCACAACACAATCCTCAGAATAAATGTTGAGAGGTCCTTTTTCAAAGAGACGATCCATGTCTGAAATGAGAATTGCCCGATCAGAGTCTTCACTGTCACAAACCAGGTCGCCACAAATCCAGTCCAACATCCACGACACACAAGCCACAGGTTCTTCATCAAAGAACAAGGACCACACACAAAACATGGCATTCTCAAGTGAGAGAGGAGCAACTACGGCAAAACTTCCAAAGGGTAAGGTACAAACTGCAACACACAGAACAAAATTTATAAGAAGGTTTTCAGAAAAAATATAATAATAAGATAGGGGGGGCACAGATGGTTCAGAGATGAGAATGCTCGCCTCTAACCGTAAAGGCCTGGGTCCGATTCCCGATCCTGACATCACAAATAAACTAACTTTGTTGTTGTTTCCTTGTCTTTCAACAAGGGTGTTTTCTACGGGGTGTTTCCCTTCCTTGTAACAAACAAAAAAATCAAAAAAGGAAAAAGCAGAGACACCGAACGAGAAAATCCACTTGGTACATGTCCACTGCTAAGTATGATTTGGTCATCCGACGTTCGCTTGAACAAAAAGTTCAATTTCTTCACTTACCCACAGTCGAGGTCTCAATTACTTGTAACAAAGTAGAAAACCCGTAAGATATTTTGTCTCTGACCAGAGGCTCATCGTCCTGAAGCAGAGTTATAAGAACAGTCCACAGACGAAAGCGTACTTCACCTTGAAGGAAAGAGGAAAAAAATATTATTGACAGGATCAATGCGACATCAATCCTGATCCCCCCTCCTCCACAAAGAATAAAAGTTTACATCTTGACTGGAAAAACGTTGGAAAAAGCTTTGTCTTTATGTCGCCAACTGAAGTCTTGATAGTGCATATTCTACCTTCACATGTCGTTTTTATACCCCACCCAAACGAAACAACTAAATCGCATTCACCGCAATAGACATAAACAAGCAGTCCTGATGGTATGGAACTCCAAATAACGAAGGTGATTTGTCTTACTCACTCAAAGTTGTACCAAAATCCACCATCACACCGATAACTGTTGTATCGCCCAGGACCTGTGCTGTGCATAGCCGCAGCTCCATTCTTTCAGAAGGTGAACTCGTATGCAGAGTTATATTTGAGAATTGTGAAAGGGCTTCTGATGCTTCCATAACAATGGTTGGGTCCTAAAAGGTAAAGTAAAATACTTTTTAATCACCTCTACCCCTGAGTTCATCCTGTGAACGAGATGTTCAGTATTAATGGTATAAGTATTACTTTTTGTTCCGAACAAAAAGTAATACTTATATCATGAATACTGTTCATGGTATAAAGACGTTATTTGAACACGATATTTCGATGAGTATGAGACTTTGACTCGAATCAACAGCAAGTTTTGTAGAAGATTGGAGGCCATATTCAAAGACCAATCTGGTTCATTCTCGCCACAAAGTGATCTCGAGAGAGCACAGTGCTTTTTAGAGTGGTAACTCATGTAACTTAAAACTATCCTTTGTTCTCAGACACCAAAACTGAGACAGTCCTTTCCCGTGCCAACAGCAGAGGTCCCTTTAGAACTCTGATATTCACCTTACATATGACTGTGGTTACCTCACTTTTGGTCATTCCATGTACTACAGAAACCATCCTGGACAAAAACGTCAACAGCGAGCACTTGAGATCATCCCTAGGAAAATAAGGAAATTCCTTGTAAACATCACGCAGTAAAGTAGAAGAGGGAAAAAAGTTACATCGCGTCACGATTTCTCCAAAAGAGAAAGCTGTTATACGTTTGGTAATGAACGTGGGACGAATAAATCTGGTTCCTTCACAAGTAAATAAACCCCAGACCTAGGGATTTTCGCTCCGATGCTCGACCACTGGGCTACCGAGAACTCCATGGCGAGAGAGGCCATAACAAAGTTCTTATGCGACAAGCGTTCTGCATTATGCTAGGATCTTATACGATTCACAGTTCATAAAAATTGAGCTACGATTACAAAATATTTAAAACTGGATATGTAACTCATGAAGACTAAATCCAGTATATATTAACCAATGTCTCCGTTGCCACCCGAGGAGAGCTTGATTGGTTGAAATTTGCATTGAAATATAAAACGTTTATCGGGCTGAGGCCAACAGAAATCATGCAGTTTTGTTAATTCCAAAAGTAATACGTCTTAGTTACCTTTGACTAGGTGAGGTAGCAAGGTCTGCAACGAATTTCCAGCACTAAAGAAAAACAAATAGCATCCTATTGGTATAACGTAAGATTATTTTACAATAGATCCATGAAAATGTGTTGCATAAGGCTATAACTATCTCACCTCAAAAAACCATGCGAAGAAATAGGTTAAATTGCTACTACCCGCAGAAATCCCATATAAATTCGAACTCACAATGTGAGAATTTGTGTTTTAGCCATGAAGATAGATTTTCAATTACGAACCTGACTTTGAATAATTTCATCTTTCAAATGGGGAACTGATCATCTTCTCTAGATAAAATTGTTTTCACTTAACATTCACCCACCTGAAAACAAGAGACTTTATCTCCTGAAGACAGTTTCCAAGGGAAAGACAAGGAGTCTGGAAGTTTGTACAAGGCTTGAAAGACCTGTTAATCAAAAAGTAACATCGGTAGATAAAAACGTAACAAGTAATTTGAAAAAACCAAACAATAGGAAAGACAACAAAACTTTCCAGTGTCCATTTCCCGTCTAGCACAAGTATGATACTGTAACAGCGAAAAGTCAAAAGGCTTTGTTGGAAGATGAAAAAGTTACGGTTTAATCACTGTATTGTAACCCCCGCCCGCTTTAATAAATGAATATTGTGCCCGGGAAACAGAATTTTTACCTACATTACAGATAGCTTTAGGTTCTAAAACCGTAGACTGGGCTGAGCAGAAGCACCAGCAACTAAATTAGCTGTGATACCCTCCTAAACCTCTCAAGAAACATTTGTTTATTCTGGACATCACACTATTTTGTGGTTTTCTTCCATGTCGAAGGATTCTTGTGTGTCGTATACAGCAATTCAAGATCTTCTGAGATTTCCTGAGTCGTTACCTGTACTAAACAATCATCATGATGTTCTGACTTCACAGCCATTGTAAACAACTGGCTTTTTATATTTTCTTCAAGTTCCAAAAATATCCAGCGATGTTCTCTCTCATTAGGGGTATTCTCTTCTAATTCAGCTTTAGTCTCAAAGTCCGTGTTCTCTTTAGAGGGCAAGTGAGAGACGATGAATTGAAGTACAACCAGTCGCACTTCGTATTCTGAAGACTGTTGGAGATGTTGAATCACTTCAAAACAATTAGCCGTGGTTACCAAGTTTTCAGCAGAGCCCTGGTTATCACCCTGAGCCTGTGATGTTACTGGTATGCGAGATTTGCTGTTAGGAGCAGATGGTAACTCCTCGCATGCTTTGAGAAATATCTCGGCTGCCGACTTCTTTACAAAAACGTCTCCAATGACGGCTGAGGACGTTTGATTTTTCACAGTTTCCTCAATTGCTACAAATTCAAACCATTGCTTCAGGCTAAGCAAGCCATTCTTAGATACGTCTGAAATAAAAGCAGTAGAGAACGCCACCCGTAAATATTTGTAAGGTGTTAACAACGCATAAGTGGTGTGCTCCAAGATGCATTTATCTGTTACTTTTCGTGGATAAGTTTTGAATGGCCGAGATTAAGTCGATAAGTGTAGATATCTCGAGGAGTTGTGACTCTGTCGAGTTGATCAAGGTTAACTTTAATACATTGACTGCACTGCCTGAAAATAGATGGGTACCTTGACTAATCATGGGCCAATATGCTGACGCACCTTAACATTTTAATCATTTCAAAAGAGGTTTTGAGTGAAAAAGTAATAGAAAAAATACCTGGGAGATCGATCCAAGACCAGTCCACTACAAAATGAAGAACAATGTCCAAGAAAACTGACCTTGACACTGCACAGGGGTTGGACCTGCACGAAAGAAAGACAAAAAAGGACAAAACAAGAGAGAGTCTTACAGAGAAATTAAGAGACATAACGAAACGTACCTCCACAATAGATTACTTGCAAGTAGGTTTTCCGTGAAATCTTTAATAACTCTTATTAACTCTCTTTAGTAAATTAAAGGATTTCTCAGGCCCGAGTCTGTAAAACATTAATAATTGTCCAAGAAATGATCAACAGTAAAGAATACGCAAAGTAAGGTTTCTTTTAGTTCTTGAGTAAGACACTTCCATGCACAGTGCCACTTTCAACCTATGAGTTAAAATGAGTGCTCGTAAACTTTAGAGGAAACCGGAAAAATGTTCTGGCGAGGGAGGGGGGGGGGGAGAAGGGGGGCCCGGCGATGGACTGGCATTCCATCCGGGGAGGAGTATACATGCTCCTTGTCGCTTAGTACTACAAAAGCAACAACAATTATGAGCCACTTGACATTAGGATAAGGAATAAAGCACGAAACCTGATTATTCGTGAAAAAAATAAGAAACCTAATCGATGAAGAACATCATACAAATAAAAGCCAGCCACGTACCGTGTGCCAAGCCATGCCGGATGCTTCAGCTGAGGAAGAACATTGGTCACAATCTTCGTCTTAATTGTGGCGGACAATGTTGCATCAAGGGCGTGGCCACTTAATAAATGAAAAATCTGTGCATTAAGCCAAAAAAACTGCATATTAGTCATGATTAAAGAACACGATATAAGTAACACTGGTCGAATATATACTTGTTTCAGAGCCATTAAAAAATAAAAAGGTGCTGTATCAACAAGTTTTTTTCGAAAAACAACGCTTACGGCAGGCAAGTTTATTGCTCATCACCTCTAAGCTTCGTCTTCGCGAACTAGACTCAGTCTTCCTGGTTCACGGTCAAATATATCGAATGCCAAACACTTAAAGGAAGAAATAGATATTGGTCTCAATGGGTCAAAAGCGAGTTTTTCTCTTAATACTTACATGGAGTAAAGTTCCATGAACATGATTCTGTCTTATTTCACCAGTTGAGCTGTGAAACAAAATGAACCTAATGAGTCATGTGAAAAAAAACTGTTGTTCGAGAGAACTCTTACATCCACACGAATTTAAAAAAGATAAAGCAATGGCATTAAGATAAGTGAACTTAAGATACAAGGGAGGAGAAAGCTGGAAGAGAGATGCTGTACAATAAATAAGGTCGCAGCAGCGATAACTAAGGAAAAAATTAAAAATACAAAATACAAAAACATAGCATACTAAAAGAGGTTTCCGCACTCATTGGATGATCATATTTGACACAGTAAATTGATTAAATGGATTCAGGAAAATTCGCAACCCAATGTTACTTGGTGATCATTTTTGCCTTCGCTGTTGAAATAAAATCACGAACAAGGTTGCTGCTATCTATTCTACTAACCTCACTGGAAGAGACACGAGAAGCTCTTGAAGAGTTTGAATCAAGAGATCACCGGACACTAGCGGAACAAGAGCACGTGCTGACATAATCCTGGTCTTCATAACCAAACTTTTTCTACAACTAAAAGTAATGAAGCTGAGCTTCAGCTTAGATTTCCTGCGACTCTCAACTGAAATCACTCTATGTTGAGAGATTTTGTAGCATTTGAAAAACAAATAAGACTCTTACGATAAACGTATCTCCATGACAGGAAATAAATCATACCATCAACAAAAAAATAAATAATAATATTTAGATGAAAGGCTCAAATGACCCAAATAAGAAACTGAGAAACAAGACAGCATTTGGGACGTTATACTGTAAAGTGACCTTAATCGAGGTATTGAGAAATGAAGACATATTCATCTGCAGTTATGCATCTGAGAGTTTTAACAAATTGCTAAATGTAAAATATCTATTTGGAATCACCTGATGACAAAGGGTACAAACAGCGCCATATTGAGTGTAGAGTCAACACCATCCATAGGTGATGGATACAGACGAGCCAACATAACAAGTACTGGATGGATGCTAGCGTGGATGGTGTCCCTGTGAAGATGAGATAAGATGGTTAACGATATCCTTGCTTTAGTGATTTATTCCTCCCTAAAAAAAACGGTTTAAGGAGTAAGTATCTGTTGCTTTCGGTTTACTGTACACCTCTGGTGATTCACACAGCAGAGTAACATCAGGTTCGAGTTATTAAGGAAAATCAAACCTTTCAATTCCTCGACAAGCAACTTCCAAATGACGGAGGAAGAATGAATGGAGCTCTGGAAATCTGGAGAAGAACTCTCTTCCTGTCATACTGAAACAAACAACATTCAACGAAAAATTTGCAAGAGTTGTGTACGTAAAAATGTTATGTTGTAGTTGAGAAGTGTTGAGGGAACACAACCAACCTGTTTTAACAGAGTAGTTTTCTTTAAGAAATGGTACAAATAGGTAAATAAAGGGGTAAGTTTCTAAAGAAACTGTTGTGCTGCGTATAACAGGTTTAACAGGTAATTTAGTGTATAACAACTGAGTTGAAAACGTAAATTAGCCACCATAAAGAGTTTAAAGGCTTTAAAGGTAGTCTAGTCTACAAATAGCCGAGTACTTTTGAAGACAGAGGATACCTCTTGTTCCTAAGGAGGTTCGGGCTCCTCTGAGAAATTTTGAGCTCCTAGATTCATACAGTGGCGTTCTCCCGCATTTTGAGGTCTTTTCCAATTTATGTTGCTTTTTTATTCCTATAAGTCAATCTTTTTGAACGCTACTTGGTTGCTATTACAACCCTTGACATAATCGAGAGGCGCTGCACACCACAAACTGTTCCAGGGCTAAAAAACAGATTTTGTATTATAGAGGACTGAAAGAACTGACTTTCAAGCAAACAAGCGACAGAGGGAAGTAAGTCAAAAAGAGCGCCTCATTTCTGTTAGCTTGGACAAAAAAACCAGACGATTTCAATTTCTAACCAGTTTTTTCTTGAATGTTCATCTTTTCCTCGTTTCACTCCAAATATCCTGGTCACCAGTGCACTAAACAGCATTGTCGACGAGTTCCGTACCTATGTAAATCAATCATGAGGATCACTACTGCAAATATCAAAATATTATCAAACAATAGCATCAAAAATGTAGTCTGATGACAACAGAGGTGAGTACTTACTGCCCAACTTTCAGAGAGGAATCCATCAATGGCGACAATTACCCCTTCAGACACAAAAGGAAACACGGCCTCGCCAAGTTTGGTGTCACGATATAGGGCGCGGAGGATGTTGCAAGCGTGAACCTGGGAAGGAAACGGAGCCATGATAACAATTCACCTGAAGTTACTCTTAACTAACTAGAACTAAAGCTGAATTCTAATTTTTCAAAGCAAACCTGTGGAAGGGTTGAATCAGAAATCCTGGAAATGTCAGTGGGATTGGCAGCAACCTGCAATAATTCTAAGGAAATAGGGATTTTAAGTGCTTAAGAACTGTAAGACTAGATCTGTTTTAAATTCACAATAAAATCTTTGGCAAAGAGCTCGGAGCTCAAAGTTTTCTTTAAGCTTCGCTCTCAGAAAACGGAAAGCAAGAAACGAGGAAAAGGATATGGGAAAATTTTTACATAAGGCCTCTTACCAGCCGTGACTTGTCTGAAGCACTTGTTTCCAGCAGCAGACGGTTCAGTTGTCACAATAGCCTGCAGTATAGAGTATCAGTCAGTAAAACGCTGTGCAACAAACCCTGGTACTTTTAGATCAGCCTGTACAGCTAACAGCTACCGACAAGAAATATTTGTCCTTGAGGCAGTGTTTAAGCTCTGGAACACGATGTTTCAAAATAGCCAGGTTTCATGACCACTCCTCCGGTCGAGTTATTGACGATCTGCTTACGTTAAGGCACGTCACGTGTCAGATCAGTCTAAACATTTCTTTCTTTAGTATGATGTGCACCTTGGTCAACCTGAGGTTAACAATTTTGCCTCACACAGGCTACCAACTTTGTTCTCAGGGTAAAATCGCTTTGAAGACGACGTTCACAGGCTGCAAGACTTAAGAGTCCACTAAAAGGTGATTCCGTAATTATTTTAGAACATGTTAGAGAGACTATCAATGTAATAACTGAACTTACTTGAATAAAGAAGGGCACACCAGCACTTCGCCTTGTCCCACACAAAGCTTCTGAAGGTGAATCACTCGTAAGATCCTCTAATAATGTCTGGAGCCACTGCGCTGGTAACTCGCAAAGCTCTGTATCTGTACTCCTACGTGGAAAAAAAGAAGATGCAGCTTTCCTATTTGAATATTTTCGTCTCTGATATGCATCTATTATCGGTAAAGACATAATAGGAATTATTTTGAATTAATTGCTCCTACCTACAGCGCTTTTCAATTGAGAATCGTAAAACCAGAACCAAAGTAATCACAACAACCAATCAGAGCGAGGGAAAATGTCACAAGAAGCCAATTGATGACAACTCACAGCAAAGACAAGAATTCTGTCCAAAGCCCGGGAAAACGCGAGTGGGCAAGTCGCATTCGGTTTTAGTTTTGCATCTGATTGGTTGAGATGGTGGTGCGAGTATTCTGGACCAGTCACAGAGCACAGTAAAGCAAAATCAATCAAATCCCGGATTACTTTCAACAATCAATTGAAAATCGGTCCTACATAACAAGTTCGATTAGTTCATAAATTTAATGTTTCTTTTTCTATGTGCAGTATTATACCTCCACAACACTGTACAAAGTTTCACAAATCCAGTGTAGGCCAACTCAAAAGCTCCCCTGTGCTTTGAAGTCAGGAGAACTTTAGTGAAAAAGTCTCCGATGTTACATATCTGAAAACATTTAAGGGTTGCACGGTGTTATTTCTGGTACAAATGACATGTGAGAGCGAATAACATATAGAGTGACAAATATTTCTGTTGTATATAACGAATTAGTATTCAATGTGGCTAAATTCTCCACTGGAGATCTGATGTTTAACGGCACAATACTGTGCGAGAGGGCGGATCCTGAACTACTTCGATTCACCCACTTGTAAAACGCTTATGCATGTCGAGTCAAGCGCCCGGGTAAGACATTAAAAAACAGGTTAAAATACGGAAAAAAATAAGAAATACACCTACTTACAAACAAGCACTCGCCAACAAACAAACAGAAAATGGCATAAGGCTGTGCATGCACTCATTCACTTAACTTTATAAAATATTTATGTACAATCGATTGCCATTAAAGATGGATTATTTTAAGAAATCCTTGAGACAAGTAGTCGACTATTAGATTCAAATTCTTCTTCGATTGGATTCCAGATTTTAGTTCCGATGAAGCGAAACGAAAACCAAGCTACGATTACTGAATTTTTCATTTGGTTGAAGTACCTGTTTTGTAGGTATCAAACCATGCTTGCTGTTTTCAAGATACACTGGAGCATTTTCAACCAGCTCTCCCAACAACAGCGCTACCTCCTTCATGGTCCTCCAGCAGCAGACCAAAAGAATCTGGGCTGCAGGGGCCATTACATGACTTTCTTCCAAAACTGACTGTTGAGGGATCTGGTTTGTGTTGTCTGAAACAATTAAATAGACATTACAAGAGATTGCCAAAGAACTAAAATGACGATTTTTTATGGTGCAGTTCCTTTATCTAAATTCCCACATCTATCAATCCTGAACTGTTTCTGTCATTTTTCATTGGATACCTTGCCCCAGTTTTCACTGAATATCCTGCAACATTTTAATTCAGTTACATGACAATTGACAAAGTTGACGGGCTACAGCACGGCGGGCTCTTCCGTTCAGCGGTCTTTGTTACCAGCGAAGGCTCACACGAAACGCTGCAACTTCCGTCCCGAAAAGTTTATTCCTCGACAGTCCTGGGCGTTTACAAGAGTTCCCATACCCCACTCTCCCTCTTGCAACCCTCCACTGATCTTGTCAGCGTTGTGGGGTGCCTGGAATGGAAGCTCATGACTATTTTGCGGGGGTTTGCAAGCCAAGCAGGCAGTGTTCTATCTAGGGGCTGAGGATACCCCAGGGACCCGCCTTTCATTTGAGGGAGGCAGCAGTTTACCAGTCTGTAAGAAATAATATTCTTTGTAGACAGTGTACAACAGTACCAACAATTGTATATTTACCTTCACTATCATAAATCATAAATCCTTCAGGCGATGAACTCGTGACAACGGGGGAAACAATGTCTGCTGTACAAATACACTTTTCTATTAAATGTGAGATGAGACTCTGCCAATGTTTATCGTCTGAGACAGAGCTAAAATGAAGAAAAACGTCAAATTGAAATACTTCGGTGTCACAGTGAATTCAATGTTTAGTGTGAGTAGGTAAGTGTCCATAAATCAATTGATGGCACTGTACACAATTATTCTTGTATCAATTTTTTAGGTATTTAGTGATAACTAGTCCGTTCAAACAGCCAACTTTAACTGCTGCGCCAAGTCATTTTTCAGACTAAACAAGAAAAAAATTCATCATTTGTAAGCCCAACCTTACCTCAATGAGACGTAACCCAGGACTGCTCTGAGGCAATAAAGAACACCATGCATAGGAGCCTGGGCGCCAGTCAAATACAGGTTCTTTGAAGCAGCTGAACGATGTGACTCGAGCAAATTAGTAAGATACTTCACCACCCTCAGGGCTTGTGGACATGTTGCATTGGATTCCGATTCTACATACTCTTGTTCAGTCTCAGATTTAACAAATGTCAGCGGTAATTCACACTTCTCCACCAGAAGGGTAAGCAATGTTGCAGCACTTGAAGCATCTACTGCGCGAGGACTGGAAACCAACCGATCAATCATGCTTTGCCAAGCAAGCAAAGACTTCTCTTCCTGAAGGAAACGAGTTAGAATTGTACCAAGTCAGGCTTTGTGAAGTATATATTAATGTTTATTTTTATAATATAAGTTCCCTTTTCTTTGGGAGAGGGGAAGGTGAAGGAGGTATATGTTGTTACCCATGCAGGGTAGTAGAAGCAGTTCACACAAAACTTTATCTCAACAATATCAACAGGGCAGATGGAAAAGAAATTCCAGATACATGAAAGCTACGATGAGGAGGCCACAACAGGAGATTAATACAACAACAGACTGCTAAAGGAACACACCTTTGAAATGCACCAATCACAGCCAAGCACAATGCTTCATCAAGGTGAAGCATAACCATGAACCAATCAACTTTACCAATTAAAAAAGACTAGCAGCATGCAGAGAAAACATTGGCCATCAACGTCTAGATAAATTTATGTATATCATTATTTATTAATATTATTTATGTTATAATAATTTTGTTGCAACATGACCCCACAAGCCTCTTGCTTTAAATATTTATTGCATTTAAATGAAGTTTTTTTATTATTATTATTATTATTATTATTGTTATTAGAGGTGACCTAATCATGTCCTCCTCCTTAACCATTTTTGGAATAAAGGGGGTGAGTTTCTAAAGAAACTGTGGTGCTGCGTCAGTGGAAGAGTATAACAGGGCAATTTAGTATTATCAACTGAGGTGATAACATAAATTGGCCACTGTAAAGAGTTTGAAAGCTGACGTTTTGAGCCATAGCCCTTTATCAGAGTGATAGTGAATAAAATATTCCACCAGTGCTGCTAATGTATACATACCTGAAATGGCAGCTGCTTGGAGGGAGATGCCACAAGTAAGTCATATGCCATTGTCTTGTTGGTTTGATAGGAATCAATCAGGCAATCCAGAAGAATATGGATATTATCTGGGGACATGACCTCACTCATATTAAAACTCTTCCCTGTAGAATCTGCAAATCCAAAAGAAAATGTCAATTCACATACAAATCACTTCCAGGGATAAAACATGGATTTAACATTTATTTATATCATTAGGTTGATAACCTCTACATGTATCATTTCAGCTTAATACTTCATGGCCTGCATATGGCCAGTTAAGGAATAACTTATCATTTTAATTGAAAGCAGCTGTCTAAATGTACCATCATCTTCTTTAAAACCAAATATGTCCTTGATGAGCATCAAATTGCTCAAAGCTGTTGTGCGACGGGTAAATGATGCACTTGGGAACAAGGAATCAAACTGATAGGCACAAAACCACTGCAGAAATGTCTGAAACAAGACAGTGATATTACAAAATTATTTTGAAATAGTGATGTACACATTATGTGTATGTTGAATCATAGCAACATAAAAAAAGTATTACCCAATAGAAAGTGAGTTGTTGTTCATGAAACTGTTTCTTCTCACTGATATCTTTCTTCTTTTTAACAGCTTTGTTAGATATCCTGATGCACTCTTTCAGTCTCATTAGCAACTAGAAGAAAAGGTAGGCATACATGTGGCAAGTACTCAGCAAAACTACAGAGAATTTGAGACAAACAAAATCTGAGTTCCACATAAGGAGTCAAATCCTAGACCTAAGGATTTTTGCACTCTGATGCTCTAAGTTACGTAGTTATTGCATAGTACTTCTCGGCTGGATTTCTGCTGCCCTCTCAAGTCTGGTCATAATTCCCCCAAGAAAAGAGACTTTAAACGAGGCTCATTTCCCAAAAAGCAGTTGGTTATTGAGCCTCATCAATTCTAGCTTCAAAACTTAATTTCTATGATCAATCAAGTACAAGAAATGGAAAATTAAATAATAGATTTTCAGAATATACAAAACAACCAACCCTTTTTAGATGTGTTCTAGCTTGTTGTCTGAAGGAAGGTGCCTGGTTGTTCATGTTGTGTGGTATAAAGAGCTGAAGCAGTTGTAAATCCAGCTCTGTAATCAACTCTGTTGCTCGTGGAGAATCACACAGCAGTCCAAGGGCATCAATACGAATCTAACAAATCAATTTGTAGAGCCATAAAATGGATGCTCAGAGGTGATGAAATTTCAAACCAAATTGAGGGTAAAAATGGAAGAGTAGCCAACGTCGAAATTCACACTGGTTAGAAATCTATTTCTAAGTTTGAGCTTTTGCTTTTCAGTCTATGGCCTTTATAAACCAAAATGTTGATTAAGAATATGAAAAAAACATATTTGCTTTTGAATTGTGGTCTTAAAATGTTTTAGGCTGAAAACCAAAGAATTTTAAACAGAGACCCCTGTTAAACTAGATGCAAGTTAGCTTTCTTCAAGGACTTTATACCAAGATAAATTACAATATTCTCATTAGAAAAACCACATATGAAATCCCAAACCCCAAAAAACTTTGCAACAAAGAAGTTCATACTCAATAAATACCAATTCTCAGAATAATTTGAACTCCTCTCCAGCTGTGAACCTGTCTCCTCACAGTATTTTCCTCAGTTTCTTCCTATCCTCTGACAATTCAATTTCTTTATTACCCAAAAAAGCTTTAATTTATGATTTTCCTTGACAGTAATGGTGACCATAAATCAACTGTACACAGTCAGTTAAATTACATCTTTCATGATCACAACACACCTGATCATCCAAATGACACAATGCCTTCCTCATAAGCTGTTCTGGAACCACCCCACACCACAATGAGCCATGTCCAAAAGAAGCATTTTCTTGGTCTGTCTTATAAAAATCCATTAGTCCTGATGAACGAGCAATTTTTAAACAGGTAACCAAGGTCCCAAGGTTACTTTCTTTTACTCCTAAAAAATTCAAAATGTAATCATTTTATGTTAATTACTTTAACTTGATTAACACCAGTATTTGTTTAACTGTACTTTTGGAGTTCACCTATTTTTTAAGATGTTCTCCCACTGAGGAAATTCAAACCCTGTATTTCTCAATTCTGCCAGCTTGTGTGTACCCTGAGAGAGTCCAGCTTTGCTCCTAAATGTTAAACATTTTCTGCTTTTCACAAAAGTTAATAACAAAGATTCTTACCTTTGTTTTCTTGAAGATACTCAACAAGAAACTGTAGGCTTTCAGGGCAGCCCCTCAATAACTTTGGGAGACAAAACTACAAAATAATTAAGCAGCATCAGAAGCTGGTTGTTTTCCAAACAAACAAAAAAAAGAGAGGAAAACAATATTAATTATGAAATGACTAACTGTGTAGAAGAAAAAATTTCAAATAAAGTAAAAGCATTGAAATTTATCAACTTTAACAAACCTGAGCCAAGTTTTCCCTCAGAAGTCTGCTACCACAGCAAATAAAATTGAGAAATGGAACAATCCATACCTTAAGACAAAAAATATAAAATTTCAGAGAGCAAGTTGGGAGACTTAGATAAAGCAAGTATAATCAAAATTTATGAAACAGAAAAGACCTCCATCCATCCTTCGATATCTTCCCCACTGTCCACGATTTCTTGCTTGTGAGAACTTGTCATCTGCTCTATAAAATCCATTACCTGAAATCAAATTCAAGATTCAAAATACATATTAAGGAAATAAGGTCATACTGTTCCCTTTAAAGCTAGGGGTGACAATTTCATCAACCATATATATCAATGATACGAGGAGCTTAACTTAACATGCAGGCTGAGAAATTTGACACTAGTTTTGTTCACTCGCTATGTAAAGTTCAACAGAACTTCAAAATCAATGCCTAAGGGATAAATAGCAATTGACGAAATTGGTTTCAATTGGTATATCCAATGTAATTAACACTAGCATTAGTAGAATAATTTACGATACCACTCACATGAGGGGCGAGGTTCCTGTCACTCATCAATGGAAACATATCCTGAGGGATATTTGAAAACCACTGCAACATTTTTTTGGCTCCCACAACAGATGTAATACAACACAGGGGGCCATATTTTCCTCTTACATGCCAGCTGACATTCAAAAGAGATGCTGCTAGGTCCTGTAGGAAGTCTTCTTTTGAAGGATCTTAATCAAAGTGAATAAAATACTACAGTTATCATAACTCAGTTTAATCTTGGCAAGAGGCAAGTCCCAAAAGAGGATGTGTACATATAAATGATACAGGAACTTCCTTATCAAAAGGAGGCAAAAATGTTTACTGAGGTTTCTGCTGAAGGCTTCGAAATAAATCTGGTTAAAACTATATTAGACCTCTTAATATGGAAAAGGAATATTTCCTTCATCACTAACTCCTCAGTTTGGCATGTTTGGCTGCCATCAAAAAATGTGGAATATACATCTTCAGGGCTGTTATGGATGTTCTCATGTTATTTAATAACTGAAGACTACTTTGTAAACAACAAGTTTCCAGAATGAATGGGTGAAAGTAACCTGAAAATTTACTATGAAATATCATACCAGACTGTCCAACAATCAAGTGTAGGTTGACAACATGTTCACATACTGCTTTGGTTTGGTATCTCACTCCCTGAAGAAGAATAGTGGTATTAAATAGAGAATATTATGCAGCTTTACAGAGATATAAAATTTCTCTTTGCTCACTCATGAAATATTTTTCAACACAAGAAGAGAATATTCATATTTCTGAGTGGCCATTTAATTTTCTTTTTATTACATAAACACCAATGAAATACTTAATTATTTCACTTTAATACTTTTTTATATATAACCATGGCAACAAAGATATTTCCATGTGTGAAGATAACTTATTTTCACACAAAAGCTCACTCAGTATTTCATTGGCATTTATATAATAATACCAAGTATTCTGACATTTCCTTAAAGTTATTATAGCCACAGCTCAATTATAGACCCAAAACAGCTTGATTCACCTCAACTGGATGGTCCCAATGAGTCCAGACATAATTCAGAAGCTTGGTTGGAATTGGTGATGTGCCATATAACTTTTCTTTAAGCCAAGAACCTTCACAGTGATTACTAGTGGCTATTTGTCTAAAAAGGAGGTAACAAATTATGAGTACAGTATGACATGAAAAAACCAGGCTATACATAGGATTTTTTATAAACAACATGTTAAGTATACTGAATAGAAAAACTCAGATTCATAAATTTTAAACATTAAATTTCACAACTACTTATCCTTCCACCTTCCACAAGTCAGTAATTTGATAAATAAACGAAAGAGTCATGGTTGTTTCAAAATGAAGGTCTTGGTTTCTCACCTTGCCTGATTTGCCCACAGAGTCAGAGTACGAAAGGCTATAATGGATGTATTGCATTCTTTAAGGCTGCATGGTGGTATAAAAGACAATGTATGAACAAGTATACCAACTCTGCTATATTACCAAGAGTCTTAAAGGTACAGAACAAATCTCCCAAACAGCTCCTTAAATATTTGAGTTTTCTGGGCAAAGATCTTTTTTTTAATTAATATTATTATTATAATAGTCAGTTTTTTCATTTTTTTTTTTTAAAGATTTTGGATCATGTTGGCTGAAGCAGTTTGGAAAAATATTCAAGAGAAGGTGGGTACGGACATGATCCAATACCCAACAACTTCAGTTGTCAGTATTCATGAGGTTGTCATTTCTGTCACAATATTCTTGTCTGTGCACAAAAAGTTGGAAAAGTTTAATGTAATACTTGGTTGACTTGTAACATGATAATAATAGAAGAGGGGATAAACAAAAAAGACCTCATGTTGCAATTTAATTCCTTTGAATTCTATGATCATGTGGCTGATAACTTACATTGTATCTGGAGTCTTGCTAGTTCACACAATCACAGGAGAACATTGCACGACAAGTGCATGAATTATTAAATCATTAAATCAAATCTTTTATCTTATTTCATGCAGGAAGTATTAAACAGATCATGTTACCTGTCACAAAGAGAACACAAGTCTGGAAACAAAGCGTCAAACATCAGAGTTCCATGCTTACTTTGACCATCTAATATGACCTGTAGGTATGGTATGATTGATTTGATAAAAAATTTACTTAATATAAACAATTATTAACAAGTGATTCATTAATATTAACAAAACATATTCCAGTTTCCACATCAGAAAACAACCATCCCCCTACTCTCTCTTGAAGAGATGCAGCTCTTTTGCAAGTCCCTCACCCACCCCACCTCCCTCTGTGTGTGTCTTATTTTACTCTATAGTTTGCCACACACAATAATTATTATACTCCTGGGTGGACAGAGACAATGTGAGGAGGGTACAGTCTCTTTTCACAAGAGCTGCTACATGACACAAACTAGGTTTGAGGAAGTTTTATCTTTAATTCATTTATTCACACCTGTGTGCAAGTGATTGCTGTGTATTCTAATTGAGGATAACCTCATATGTGATCATTCAGGTTAGAGTAGTCCTGGAAAGTACTGTAAGTTACTTATGACAGTGAGTGATCTTCTTAAGAACTTTGGCAGATGTTAGTCTGTCGCAGCCTTAGGATGTTGATATCCCCACTTAGTTGTTATTTTATATCATGCTCAAGAAAAAGGAATGTGTTTCCAACTACATGAATTACTAAGAGGATTCATCAGTAATCTTAATCAAACATCATACACCTCAATTACCATAAACACTCATTTTACAAGTGAACGGAGATGAAGAATAACAATAAAGGTCATGGAATGATGTGTTATCACCATCAATTTTTTGCAAAGGTTAAGATGCAATTACTGGCAAGTTGTTATGACATCATAGACAAGACCTGTGAGTTCAAGAAGGGCCAATTTATGTATTTTTGGCCTACTGCTTCAAAACCAGATCATGCAAATGCAGCTGTAAAGAAATTTTCTTAACAGACACATTTGTAGGAAAAATTATATAGGGTATAGGCCTGTCATTTTTTACAAAGAACACACTGCAACAGCTGGGCAGACACAAAACCTTGAGATGCAGCATGATATAAGATTAAAATCATTGTTAGCAGGTCATATGTAATACTGGGTTCAAATTTAGTTTCACTTTTTTTACCTCTGAGGTCTCAACCAGCATGTGAAGGGGAATTATAGCCAAGACTCCTCGGCAAAGACACAGGTGTGAGAAACTGGTTATTCCTAAGCATGAAAATATAGCATTCATCAGAAAGGAAACTGTTCATTTGATACCTAAATTTGAATGAAACAAAACTTTATCCAATGTCAACTCACTGTTAATATAACATTATTTGCTAGTAAAAAACTATATTATTGATATCTCATACAAGGTTGACAAAACACTTTATACTAAGGTTTCAAAGCAAGAGAATACTTACCTGGAGAATTTTGAAAGATAGAAATGATTTTGGGATCACTCAAGGGTGAAAAAGGTAGGTGTCCACTTGGGGCATGAGAGGGGAAAATCAACTTTCCAATCTGTTTATGGGGTCAATCACACGATGAGCAAACAAATATATTAGCATCAAACAAATCAATTATTATATCTTTAAGGAATAATTAATAACAAGACATAAGATTATAATTAAAACTGATAAATAAGTATGGGATTTACTAAAAGTCCAATTTCCATGATGCTGAGTTGGAAAATGGTGGAAGCTGTGATGTTGGCTCAACATCAATAATCACTATCATCTGCCACTGTCATGCAATGTAAGACAAATAAAAGATACCTACTGTTGACACAACACTTTGAGCTGGGCACATCACTTTGATAACAGCAAGAATGGCCATTCCAGCTGTTAATTGACAGTCAAGGAAAAATAGATCTGAAATGTAAGTTAGAACACCACTTCTGACATTACTGGTATCTTCATATCAGCCACAAAATCTTGACCTATCATATATTTGATTTAGTGAAAGGAAAGATGGATTATCAAATACATGTACCATTGTACATAATGAATTTTATACCAACTTAATTGTGCCTTTAAGAATATTTTGAAAAATTTTACTAGTTTGTAAGAGAGGTAGGTGATCTATAAGCTTCACTTGGAACAATCATCTAACAGGCAAAAAAACCCTACAATAGGTGAGAAATATAATGAAAAAAACTGATTTAACCAACATATCCTCCAATATGGCATTAGACTGTTGAGCAAATATCACTTAATTATCAATCAGCCCATCAGACATCACTTCACTTTTAGGTTCATACTGCAGATCAACAGCATGTTGGTGGTGCACATGTGGCAAGTTGCTGGTGTCATATACATATCAACTGACACCTTGGATAACTCACTGGCAGACACATAGGCTGGATCAGATACACTGTCATTTTCTATAAATGTGATTCCCATTGTCACACATAACTAGTTCTGACTTTTCATTTACAACTGTTACAGTACTAAGATAGGGGAGCTTTCATGTACATGCACCAATCTATAAATAATGCAGATCTAGTAAAAAATATGTTGTGTATAAAGTAATCCTATAAAACAAGTCATACCATCAAACAAAACACCACAAAGGTCTATCAGCATTTCTGTCATCAAATCAGTCCACAGCTTCACAGTTATTGGAGCATCTGAGTAGCTGCTACCACATAACTGGCCTGCGTCAAGACTTGCATTAAGGTCTTTATAACTATTATGACCAGCATCTTCTTTTTTAACACATGACAAGGCGAGCTGGTCAAACAAATTACATAAATTTGTCTCAGAACTGGATTTCTGAAGAAAAGAAATTATTGTCTTTATAACTGCTAAACAGTCCATCATAAGAGAGGTCTGCAAAGCCAGAGATCGCTCAGCTCTACAAAGGAGAGAGAAATAATGTAAGGAATATGGTCAATTTTATTGTATAACACTTGCATGCAATACTTGATAGGGAAGATGGGGGGCTTGGAAGGGAGATTAAATACTTTAGTCTTTTTCTTCCTTTTCTTCCTTTTCCAAAGGGAGAGCAAGAAAAAAGCTTACTTTTCCCCAATGCACACCACTCAAAAGACATAAAGAAAATGACTCTGTCTTGTAAAACAACCAAAACAAACATGTGTTCTTCAGGTTGAGGTTGTGGGTAATCAAGGGAGGATAACACTGATTGAGGCAGCTGTGCCAAAATTTTCCATATGACCAAACCATAAAGTTGTCTTGGCTGAAGAAAGGTGTCTAATAGTCACCCACTGCCATAAATGTAACCTCACTCACTTGGCAACTTTCCACTGCTCTTTTAAACACAAGCCAAGAAATTTGAATACTGAAATAAGAGAACAATGAAAAACAACTGTTAATTTAATGATCCATTCAAAATATATCCTGTAGGGCTTCATCTTGAAAGTAAATTAATTTTACATCTATACTGTAATACTATGCTCCTGTTTATTCTCTACACATGCAGGTACAAAGTATGTTTTAATCTTTGCTTCAATCCATTACTGGGCTAGAAGTTAAAAAAAGTCATTTCGTAATTTCTGGCTATTTACACACCAACAATGAGGAGATTGAACATCTAACATTGTTTCCAGTGCATCATTATAATAGCCTTCTACCATATCGCTAGCTTCTTTTTTTACATTCAAAGGTTTCATGCACCACTGTTTAACATTTCATATTTACCCAAATGGCCATTGGTAAGAAGTACATCAGCTCCTGTAAAAACAAGACAAAATTGACAGTTGTTTATTATTGTCCCAATCACTCCTAGAAATGCCAACTTATACAATTGCTTCTAATTTAAATGATAAATGTTTTCTAAAGAATCAATGACTAATTGATATATGGGGTATAATTGCATTGTGATAATAATAACAATTGACCACCCCCAATGGGCTTTTTCAGGGCCAATACAAACAAATTGGAAACAAACAGCATGCCATAAAGCCCACTCAAGGAGCTGAACTTGAGACAACCAAAGAAAAATCCAGCTAGTAGCAGGGTAGAAGGCTATTTTTACTCTATCTTCCAACTATATTTCTTAAAGAAACCATGACAGAAACTCACTAACCAAGAGTAAATGAATCCAACATATCAGCTATCATATCTACATAATGTCGAATATTTATATCTTCAGCCTAAAGAATAAATTGACCACAAAAATCAGTAAATACTAAATAAAAAAAAAATAACCCAATGAATTCACAACTATTAACTAAAATTATTCACAGATAATCAGTTGGGGGACATTCCAGTAAGAAAATATAAGGTCACGAAATGCAGTGTTCTCCCTTATTTTAAGCATGACAGGTAAAATGAATTTTCAAACCAGTAAAACAATCCTTTCACAAGTTAAATTTTCAAGAATTTCAAGCAATTTTAAACAGTAATAAGAGGCACTACAGGCGGTAAATGTTATCGGTTACTGCCTGAAAAGGAGAACACTGGAAATGGAAGAATTTCAAGAGTTTTTAAGGACTTACAAGTCAGGGAGTTCATGCACTAAGCTGGGGGCGACTATATTTTGTTCATACTAGACTAGAAGCAAGAGAATCTTAAAAACCAGAATGTGGGATGCAACATTTGCAAAGATGTATCTCAAGAGTAAATTAATTCCCCTATAACCCTCTAACTCTCATGAGTGACCAAGACAGAATCTCTCTTTACAATATTAGTATCAAGCAGAAAAGTTATGAGAATATAGAAAAATATCAATTAGTGGATTAGTTGATCCAAAAACAAATTCTCTGAACTAGTATCTTAAGAATGGTATGACGAACAGTAAGAAGAACTACTAAATGAGATCTTAAAAGCTCATATTAAGAATTTCTAACTTTATTCAACATAGTAAATTATTCATAACCACATTTATTGCTGAACAAATGTTTACAACCTTCAAAACTTAGACTCATACCAGCATTAAGACATCTCTTGCATGACTTATCTTCTCTACAATCACTGAGCTTAGAACTTCAGAGGGAAAACCTTGTGGCAAACCATCAAAAACACTGCAACGTTGAAAACATATGGTGCTGTTATGTAAGTAATAAAATCCTGGAAGCAACAACTTCACCTTAAATCATAGCATTAATTTTTGATGAGTAATATCATGTAAATTTTGGAAATTATTAAAAGCACCTGACAACATGTATATTTAAATTTTATGTAAATGTAAGCCACCCCTACAGAAAAGATGAGTAGCAGCATTCTATGTGTTAAATAAATATCAAAGCAACCTAAGTGACATATAAATATCTGTCATTATTATCATTTATACTAAAAAAAAGTAAAAATGTACATAACTTCATGACTTGACAGTTTCAAATCAAGATACCTTGAAATAATTTTCTTTGAAGGATTTTTTGAGTCACATTTTACATAAAATTCAGCCAGAGCAGCAAGACATGTGTGAGCCTCATCAGATGACAGCTTGATTTTGCATTCATCTGGAAAAACAGTACCAGCCTTAAAAAAGACAAAGTGAAGGAAACTTAGATATATCAAATGACACTTTTACATTATTTGTAACTTAAAGTACTTGGTAACATTAAAAAAGAAAAGAAGAATATAAAAACCTTTTTTAACAAAGCACAATGTATTGTGGTATCATCTTCTTCCAAGCACTTTAACAAAAGTTTTGGTACTTCAACCTCATTAGCAGATTCACAAATTCCTAAAAAACACATGCAAGAACCATATTAGTTATTTTCCCTGCAACAAACTTTGTCTGAAAACAAAATCAGGCACTAAATTCACACACTGTGTTATTACGACTATATTTTACTGTAATACACGTGCACAAATGCATTTTTTGGTCAAGATCTACGCTGCTCCATGGGTTTGTGAACGAATGTTTTGATTCGCTAATCCCCTTCCCCTTTGATTGGCTAATTTTCATCTACACTGAAGACAAAAAAATATAAGGAACGAGCTTGATTACATCAATTTATCCGGACCGTGTAGATCTCAACCACACGGCTCTTTCACTCTTATTCTCAAAGTCACGACACTTTAGAAGCGTTCAGTTACAATTTCGATAGCGTTTCAGAGGAGATTTTCCGTGAGCACACTAGCAAGGCTTACTGATCAGATCTCTTTGGAGGGTAACAACTACTCACTCTTTAACTTCAGTTTCGTGCCTTCACTTAACAGTAATTTCTGCTTGTACACTCTCTTTGGCTTCTTCATGATCTACGATGGCAACTGCTATTTGTAAATGATCGACGCTTTCCCCCACGATGTGTCGTCCATCTTGAATTATAATTAACGAGAGATCCTGGGGATGAGTGTGCCGGTAACTGCGCTGGACAAGTAAGACGATCTGACACGTCGTGTTTTGGTACTTAAAGATTTGTAAGGGAGAGAAAAAACAGTTAAAAGGTTAAGATTAACTATGGACGCGACTAAGAAAGGTCAAGGTGAACAAGGCTGTCTGCCACTAACCTCCCGACTGATTCTGTACGGCCTGTGTGGCTTTTTCGCCGAAGTGATGTTCACTGCAACATGGTACTTTATTGACTCAGCTAAATACCGGCACGGTTGGAAACTTCATGGTTGTACATCGGTTTGGAGCTTTCCCATTTATGCAGTTTCGTCTTATGTTGTTGAGAGAATGTATCTGTCCCTGAAAGACAGGACTAACATGGTAGTGCGTGGTGTTATCTACGTTATATGGACGTATGCTTGGGAGTTTTCCACCGGTTTGATTTTACGGCAGTTCAATGCTTGTCCTTGGGATTACACTGAATATACACGTTTCCATATAATGGGGTTGATTACTTTTGACTATGCTCCTTTGTGGTACTTTGGTTCCCTGCTCCTGGAAACTGTTATCGTTCAAAGTGCGTTACAACTTCAGTATACAACAAAAAGTAATCGAGAAAAATTAAACTAGCCTTGGTAAGCTACAGGAAATGAGAGGCATTTCAGGAATTTATTTGCTTCTAGGGTCCATTTTCCGCTGTATTTAAGATTTGAAGCATGCAATTTGACTTGACAGAAATCACTGGTACCAGCAGCAAGTGTCTGACTACCAAATAGAGCGCAAGGTAATCTATGCAATGAAAGAGAAGCCGTATCTAGTCTCGAAAATACAAGTCAGCAATAGGTACTCGGTGATGAAATGACTGAATGAATGTTATATGATAAGCTGAATTATACACGCATTTTGATTGACATCAGTGACGTTTTGAGGTCATGATTTATCTGAAATGTAGTAGAATAGACAAACAGACAAATGGCAACATGGAATCTGTGTGTTGAATAGCTACAATACCAACTGAAAGGAAAAGAATTCCTCTCGAAATTTTTTTCCAGGCCTGGGCAAGATGGGAGGGGGGGAGGGGAGGTGGGATAATTGGATTCTGTTTCATGGAATATTTTCCCTTTGAGATAAAATTTTGGTACAAAACACAATGAAATCTCTTCGAGGTGTCAACTCACATCTACAAACCAAAACAAAAAAAAGAATCATGAAAAATGGCAAGGGATAATTTGAATCATGAACCCCTAAACTTCCAAGATCTGATTGTTAATTCTCCCTTTTTAGCTCTCACACATTTCCTTCTAAACTAGTGACAAGACTTTGTAGTTAGATCAAGATGACAACTTCTACCTGAGAAGTTTGAGTACTCTCATGACCCTTTTGTTGGATAATGTTTGGATATTTCAGGGAGAAGCTACATGTTAATCACTCTGGGAGTCAAAGGGCTAAAAATATACACTTGGCAATGAGTTAAAGAAATACCCCAGATGGTTGTGTATTTCTAGCTGGGCCTATCTTGAAAGCATGTGTGCTTATTTTCTCATGAATGTTTATTGTATTACATGTACGACTAGAGCTCTTCTTATCATGAAGCAACAAGGAGTATTATTACCCACCCCTGGATGGGATGTCAGTCCAGAACATTTTAAATATCTATTTATTGACTCTGAAGTGTAGCTGCCATGTTACAAATTAGTAACTGGGACTACCTCTACATCTTTTGAAAATTGATTGTACAATTCCCAAAGAAGATTTTAAAAAAGAAAATGCCATCCATTCTGATTGATTTTTTCACTATGGAAACTCTGTAAACTATCTTCATAACTAAACAGATATAGAGTTTCATGCTACAAACTCCCCAAGAAGAACAAAATACCAGCACTATCACCCAAGGAAAGAGGACAAGCATTCTTGCAATTCTGTACAGCAATCTCCTCCCTTCTATCCTCCAATGATTCATAATTTCCTAAAAAAGACAATGTGTTGGGGGAAGGGTTAATCCATTTTTTAATGTTTTGGAAGCTCAGGTTCACCCACACTCAAGGTAAATCAATATCACAATGTGGAAAGAAACTTTATTCAAGTTAGGTCTTTTTGGAGCTATCCAACTCTGCATGTTTATCAGCTTTTACATTTTGAAGTCACTATTTTCTTTATTTGTTGGGTATGTGTTGTAATACTCATTAACAAATAATGACAAAATGAGCAAATACAAATATCTAAGGGCTCAAATCTTTATTGGCTTATTGACATTATACTTAAACTAAGTACAGATTCCCCAAGGTTTAACAGAGCTCTCTAGTAAGAACAATTTTCAGAGGCAGTAAGATTAAGGAGGCTAGCATTCTTGAGGGAATAATCTTGGAATCCTAATGTCAAGAGAAGGCGTAGTGGAAGGTGGGACAAGTATTCATAATACACACACTCTAGTTCATAATTTATTGTGAAACTAGAGTAAGTCAATCAGCATGAGATATCTGAACTGTATGCAGTAATGCTGATTATTTTGTGGTTTTGTGGTTTCTCATCTTGTCCTGATCTCTCATGTGATTGGTTCAAAACACCAAAAGCATTCCAGACATATTTTAGATGTTCATAACTTTTGAGCTTAGCAGTAATTCCTATTGATTTCCCACTAGATAGTCTTAACACAATCTTAAGTGACCAAGTACATCTTTTCGGGTACATATTTAATCATTTGTTTAATCATTAACTGATTCTGTGTTACTTTTGATCCCACATCCAAAATACCCCATTTAGTTTGTTTTCCTTTGTCAGTGTCCTATCACATAAATTATAATTATTTACCTAAAATTTTTACTGCAAATGGACTCCAAGTAGTCCAATACAAAATATTGAAACTTTGTACAATGTAGCAAGGCAATGCAAATGAAAAAAAAAATTTAAAAAAAAACACTCCTGTGTAAAAATATACTCTTGAAACTGGGAAATAAATATTTGACAAATAAATAAACCTAGCTAGTTAATAATGCTACATTTGTAAAGTTGCTTATTTAATAAATCTGATTCTTTTAGAATTCAAATGTATTTGTTGCAGTTTTTAGTAGTCCACAGCACTTAGAATGTGCCATCTCTTCCGTGGTTGACCCTTAGCTTCAATCATTTCTTTCCAATGAGCTTCTTCATCTTCGCCAGTGTTATCCCTGCCCATTGAGAACCATCCTATAATCTCCTTTCTCCTCATTTTCTTGATGTTGACCACAGAGAACATGAGGCTTACACTAGGCAGTTCAAATTCTATTATCTGGAATACAAAGTTCTCGTTGTATTCCGGGTCACACATGCTGCGACGTATTGACGTTTTACTTTTGGAGAGTTGCTGTCCAATGGAGTTGAACATTGCCACTTTAACATAAGTATCTGAAATTGAAATCAATCACAAAAGTTAGTCAAAGCGCATTGTATGGGAAACATAGACTTTTTTACTAATTTTTTTTTTTACCAATTTTTTACGAGATGGGTGGAAAGAAAACGAAAGCAAGGCCATGCCAAAAAAGGTAGACAAATAAAATGTCCAAGATCCCGTTTGTAACAAAAAAGTGATGATGGCTGATATAAATTAACTTGGAATGCATCAAAAAGCCACTAAGATGCTCAGACATGATGCAAACGGCGGCGGCTCGTGCAATTTAAAAACCCTTTAAAACATCACGACCGACCAGAATTCACGACATTTGTGAATTTTTGTTTATGTTCTCGACAAATTGCTCTTCATTCATGTATTCGCCATTGAAGGCGTGTTTGTGTGCCTATGTGTACAGCTTGGCAGGGGGAATTTCTCTCAAAACACTACAGCATAGAAATGTTATTTTTATTTTTTTTTTCATGCATCGGCTGTGTGTTCATGGGAAGTTAGAACTGCGCTCGGTTGTGCTTGGACCAACTGCAAGTGCAAACGAAACTTCGCGTGTTTCTTATCTCGATGAACGCGTGATGTCGCGGTAACGAGTTGTTACGTTTTGTCGACCGAAAGGACGAAAATTGATTCGATCCCACTGATATGTTGGCAAACGATCAACAATCGTCGAAAAAAGCTGTTGTATACTATACAATTGTCGCGAACAACATTATTTCAAAATAAGCAATGTGATGTAGATTGTATCTGTATCTGATTCGTGTGCCAAAATCAAACAATGCCCCAGGGGAGAGTAGTTATGAAAAAAAACCCCGTCAAATTCACAGTTTTTGAAACAGCCTTCAAAACCTATCATTCTTATTTTAATATTTATAAAACAATTCGAGGAAAGTAAACTTTTAAGATGATTATCAATTACTAGCCCGACGCTCATCTTGCTTGTTCGATCGTGCGAACGCGCGTAAAGCGAGTTTAAATATATTTTCTGAAGAGGAAAATCTGCTCCTTTGCTTAAACTTGTAAAAATAACAGTATAGAACTCATTTGAAAGAAATTTATTTCGATTAAGAATGATGCGAATGTAACTTTTTTGGTTTGCTGATATTTAAAGCATTTTATTCGTTAAACATACTGTGGGTCTGAGATGGTTGGTCGCATCTTCATGTTGTCAAGTTACAGTTGCCTAGAAGGCATGAATTGTTTATCGAGAGCGTTGATGCCTTAATTAAAACCTACGCACGATATTTCGCAAGAGCTAACATAGGAAACATGTCTGTTTTTGCATGTTTGGTGAACTGTCTACCGACCCTTAGCAACGCAACGAATTTTAATTTTTTTTCACTTAATTGAATAGAATTGGTTATCCCTCTCGATTCATCAATTTAAATGACAGATTATGGTTATCACAGAAAGAAAACCAGATAATTTCAAGAAGAAAAACAATCTGTTTAGAACCGCAAATTTAGAAATTTTATTTTTTTCAATGAACTGGTAGTCAAAGTCACATCATTTATGACACTTATCTGTGTTTTTAACTATCTGCTGCGCATTAAACCCCTTCATTTACTGACTTGTTTTAATCATCCCACAGTAATGAATGAAAACTATTCAATACACCTTAATGAATAACTTATTAACATTTGATGATTTAAGGATTTTCTATGCGTCTACTAGTCTTTCACCCAGACCTCTCACGACCAAGCAATGACACAAGTGGGACTTGGGCATAAGATTAAGCGTCTGCGAGAGTATGCCATCGGCTTAATGTTTTTTCTTTTTCCTGTATCATGTCATTCCAGTGCCTGATTTCTTCTTGCCCGCTAGAATTTTTTCCCAAGGTAAGCCAGCCTATCTCTTTTTTCTTCCTCGCCTTTGTTATGACAATCACAGATATATTCAAATTCACCAGCTGTAGATCTCTCTCGGAAATCTCATACATGAAACTTTCGTTATACTCGGGGTCAGCCATGCTCTTTCTAATGGTAGTTTTACTTTTTGCAACTTGCTTGCCAGATGCTGAGAACAAAGTGACTTTCACGTATGAATCTGTTAGTGAATGAGAAAGGGTGCGCATTACTTTTAAGGTGATTTACACGTTTTGAAGATTTAAAAGTAAGTGAGAGGTTTATGAACTCTTTCCCCTTATGAACATTTAAACCTTATTTTGTGACGTTTAAATCAAGATTTAGAGTAATGCCGGCAGAGAAGTTTTCCTTTAACTATATATTTGCATCATTTTTAACGTATTTATTTGATTGGTGTCCGATGTATTGCTGTTTTATCTTAGTGTTTAAGCTCTATGAACAACAGTTATACCGGAAGAGAAAATACTCGCTTCTCTTAAGGATCGAAAGCATCGTTTTCAATACTCAATACGCACATCAGCTTGCAGCTCATAAAACTGGGTATACGAAGCTATAGAGTGGCCTAGGTGGTACACACTTCTCTCCTCCCCACACTTGCCTCCTTGGTCTGTCCCCTAAATCCAAAATTTCTTGGGAAAATTTTTTGAAACACTACGATGGAAAAATAACCGGATATACTTTTTCTTCATCGACTGCTATACATTGATGATGCGTGTTCGATTTGATTTATTCGACCCTTTTATTGGCCATCCATTGAATAATCGGTAGCCCTTGTCCTCCTCACTCAGAGTAAACTGGTGGGGATCAGAAATTCAATGGTTAATCAATCTACAAAACGAATTTTAACAAATTGCATTTTAAATAATGGACCCAGGCGTGAACCATTTCCTTACTTTCCACGCATGCATTGCGGATCAACCTTTGAGGGTAACCCTTTACAAAATTCCGCTCTCAGCAAAGCTTCTTTGATAGTAAATGATGTGTGGCGTTTTGATCACTTTGTCCTGATTTTAAGCGGAGTGGAAGTTATTCGATGTTTATTATTATTATCTTAAAAAGAAAAAGAAAACTTTTGCGTTTCTGACGAGTCAATCGCTGATTGAAAAGCTTGACCTCGTTTTTCTGCTTTTTTGACTGATTTTGTTTTTTGTATGTTTTGTTCAGTTTCGCTTGTTTATTTGTTTTTTTTGTTGGAGCTGTTTCAATTATCAGAGATAATGTGGATTGCCAGAGTTCTTTTAGTGTCGTTATTTCCAAAGTTCGGTTATCAGAGCAGCTAATCGGAACATAGAAAAATATTACTGACAAGGAGTCAATGGGGACTCGAGGCAAAAACAAACAACCTGCATTAAGCGCGGGAAAACGTAAGTTACCTTATCTCCGTTTACTATAGCCTTGCATTCGATTGGTTAAAAATGAGGTTGCGCGAGTCGCAGGGCGTAGTGGATCAAAACCAGTGCAATCATGGAGTATATTTGACGCTGAAAATTTCTTTAATACAAAAGAATGATAAAGTTCACAGTACCTGGTGCACGTTGCATTGATACATTACGGAGGTTGCTGGCCTTTAGCACTTCCACAGTTAGGCGGCCAGTGAGAGATTGATAACAGAGTGAGACAAGCAATTCTGGGGCCCCACTATGAGTCATTGCCAGAGAAGACACTGAACCATGAGATCCGAAACTCATCACACTACCACTTTCTGACAAATCGTACATGGAGTCAGAGCTCTGTAACAGTATAAACAGTAACAATGTTAGCTCCCTACAGATACAGGTATATTTGTACTTTTTAAAGCTACATGACGATTTGCTGGAATATTGACCTAGATTTTTTAATTAGGCGTTTCTGTTAATTTTCTCAATCCCTAATCATCCTCCTGTCTTAAAGATTATTTCCCCTATTTCAGTAGTTTTCTATCTTTCTATTAATTTGCTCGTCGTAAACTCGATTCAAACTAATAATACTTTTCTCCTTTAAAAGACAGAGTACGTTG